CAACGTAATGCGTTTGCGACCAGCATGGATCCAGACCAGCCTGCGCGCGCAGTCTGATCAGGATCCATGCTGGTCGCTTACAACCCCTATAACAAGTAGATTCCGTCGCAAACGCATTACGTTGGTTTTGTCATGGCGCGGCTCATATATCTCTAAACAATATACATAAGTATTTGACAGAAGATATTTCAACATTGTCTTTGTTCCTGCTTTAACCCTTTACCTCATATAATAATAATAATAATAATAATAATAATAATAATAATAAAGACTTTATTTAACGAGAGAACTCATTTGAACAAACATATCAATCTTCCATGAGGCCCTCAACAAGGAACAATATAAATTTAACATTTTCAAACTATTAAAATACATAAATGTAAAAACATACAGGAGATTATCAATTTGTATACATCAATGCGTGATAAAACCTCAAGTATAAGGTTTTAAAAATGGTTAACAGATGTAGCAGACTTTAATATAATCAGGAAGGCCGTTCCAAAATACAAGATCCAGAATAACAAAAAGACTTACGAAATTGTTCAGTAATTTGGTCTAGGGGTATAAAGTTGCAAAAATCAGATGATGAGAACGCAAAATGCGAGTATGAACATCCGAAATTATTCAATAATTAGGAAGGCGCCTGATTATTTATTATTTTAAACATCATAATAGCTTTTTGAAAAACAACCCTCTGTGAAAAGGTCATCCAGCGGAGTTCAGAAAAAAAGTTCAGCTGATGAGTGTCATAATCTTTGTCTAGAATTAGTCTTGCAGCTCTCTTTTGGAAACTTAATGAGTTTATCTTCTAGAAAAGACGTACAGTTACCATAAATTATGCAACAATAATCAAGATGTGGTAGAAAATATATGCATTGTAAAACATTTTACGTACAGGTATAGATATGAATAATTTTATATGTGATAATAAATGTAACAATGAGTTACACTTTTTAAGAACATTATCAATATGGCTTTGCCAAGACAAGGTGTTATTAATTGTAATACCCAATAAATTTTCTTCAGAGCTACATATATACGCGAAACAACGCACTTTCGACCCCCCCCCCCCCTTTTTTTAGGCCTGGAATAATGAAAAAATGTCCTATTTGGGTCCCAAACACATGTTCTCGTTTGAGAAATGTTGCTTAAAAAAAAGTGAGCACTTTTTCGGCGCCGTCCCCCATCCAAAAGATACATCAGGGGGTTGCCAGAAGGGGGATGCGCCAAGAAAATTTTGGACTTGTGAGAGGCTTAAAATGACCCCAGGTCGATCATAAGGTAACGTGTAACCAACGCTGAAAAGCCTTTGACTCTATCTCAATCCCTTGAGAAGTTGCAGCACTTTGAAATAAATTTTGATGGGAAAAATCGAGGCAAAATAGTGATTTTTGGCAATTTTGAGATGTCCCCTCGTTGCCATGGTAACAGGAAATTTAAGACTGAGCATGTCGTTACACAGGCAATGGTCCAGTCAACATTTGTGCCAATTTTGATTAGTATTGAAGCATTTTTCATAGTTTCATAGCAGTTTGAACTTGTAAGAGGAGGCTTTTCAGTGAAAATGGCCATTTTTCACAATATGCTCATGGGGGAAAGGGTTAACATGGAATTATACAGTTATGTAGGTATCTTGGTATTGTTTAAAAAATCTTTTTTTTATTATTTTCCAGGATGCGTATTGCAAGGCAAAGGATGGTGAAATGGAATTAGGATACACTTTCTTTTCTTTTTTGAATTTGTAAAATTAAATAAATAAATGAAATGAAAAAAGGGAAATAATTGCGTTCTTGTATTTGTAAATATTTTAGCCAAATATCGTTTAACACAGCAACAACAAAACTTTGGAGCATGCTACATATACATTATTTAACATACTGTGTGACAGAAGTACTGCACGGAATGCCGTTAGGGCCATTGACTATTAATGTATTCATCTGAAACGCGATAGTCGAAAGTACGATGGTGAAAACGCGAAATCACGAAACTACGATGGTGAAAACGCGAAAGTACGATGATGAAAACGCGAAAGTACGATGATGAAAACGCGACAGTACGATACTACGATGATGAAAACGCGATAAACTATCGTGTTTTCACCATCGTACTGTCGCGTTTTCACCATCGTAGTTTCGTGATTTCGCGTTTTCATCATCGTACTGTCGTGTTTTCATCATCGTACTATCGCGTTTTCACCATCGTACTATCGCGTTTTCATCATCGTACTGTCGTGTTTTCATCATCGTACTATCGCGTTTTCACCATCGTACTGTCGTGTTTTCATCATCGTACTATCGCGTTTTCATCATCGTACTATCGCGTTTTCATCATCGTACTATCGTGTTTTCACCATCGTAGTTTCGTGATTTCGTGTTTTCACCATCGTACTATCGACTTTCGCGTTTCAGATTAACACATTCATAGGCGATGGCCCTAACGGCATTCCGGAATGCCGTTAGGGCCATCGCCTATGAATGGTTTGATCTGAAACGCGATACTCGACAGTACGATGATGAAAACGCGAAATCACGAAACTACGATGGTGAAAACGCGACAGTACGATGGTGAAAACGCGATAGTTTATCGCGTTTGCATCATCGTAGTATCGTACTGTCGCGTTTTCATCATCGTACTATCGCGTTTTCATCATCGTACTTTCGCGTTTTCACCATCGTAGTTTCGTGATTTCGCGTTTTCACCATCGTATTATCGACTATCGCGTTTCAGATCAACACATTCATAGGCGATGGCCCTAACGGCATTCCGTAGTACTGGGCTTTGGTATGGTACTTTGTAATTGGGGTTGGACTCTGTAGTGGGGGTTGGGGAATTTGGGTAGCTACAAAATTAAATAGAATAATTAAATAGTGTTCATTCATTTTGTTTGAGAAGACTATCTCGTCTTCCAAGATATAGTCAGGTGATAAAAGGGGTACGGGCGAGATCAAGACGAAAGCCCCTTGCATATTTTCCTTGCTATGCTTTCAATAGAAAGTATGTTCAATATAATTGGTTCACAAAAGTCATTTACGATTTTTTTGATGAATTAGCTTCAAGTAAAACTGTGCACCGTCACATTATATTTTAGGTAACACGAAAATATCAAAGCGATGGTGTGTGATATTGTGCCATTCTTCTAAAGTGCACTGCCCGCGAAACACGGGTTCTTTGGCTTGTTTTGGAATTCGGGCTATTCTGCTAAATCTAAATGATTAAAATTTACTTTCTTTTTGCAACCAGTGTAAATTAGAGAAAGATTCTATTCTGTATTTAATGCGATAGTTTGTTAACACTCTACTGGTCACACTTTTGCCCCAATTGTCTCAAAACTTGGTAAGAATGTGTGTGACAGGTTTTGCTCCGAGTTTGTACATGGATCACCTTGGTTGAAAATCAGAAATAGGTCACAGTAGCCAAAAATAGAAAAATGTTTTTAGCTAAATATTGTGAATGGTTCATCTAAAGTTAAGAAGTTGGTAACACAGCCTGATTATGGAAAAAACCTTGTTAACTTGCTGTCCAATATAAATGAATTTCTTGGAAAGGTTGTATATGAAGACTATAATTATGTAACAATATTGATTAATGAAAATATTACAGTACATTTGAATTGATTTGATTATAGATTTCATTTTTATTAATAAACGATATAGTAATTCATTTGAAAATTAATGTGTAGAGATGAATACAACACACCAGAAAATATATTATAATGCATCAAAGTACTGTACATAGACTTGTAACATGGAAAGCTATACAAAAGGATGTACTATAATTTGGTAATTAAGTCTTGTAGGATGATTCAATTAATTGAATTTGTATACAGTTCAAGCCAGGTCATGCCTTTTAATTATTAGATAGCATCACTGAAGACTCAATAGACTGTTTCAATATTCTATACTGCAGTCCATTTAACGGTGTTTCAAAAAATGATTTCTTTATTGCTCATCTATCAGCTTGCCTAGCAATACACAGATGGAACATCACATCTTCCTTGTCTCATTAATAACTTTGGAAAAAAAAAGCCTTTGTGGGAGTCACTTGTTATGGACATTGACCTTGGTCAGAAGATGACCCCTATTGTTTTTTAGGTCAGAAGGTTAAAATCATCATGGCATTGATGACAAAAATGGATTATGTTATCAAGCAATGTATACTTCAGCGCTTTCAGTGCTTTGATTTTTAAAATAATTTTTCTCATTGAAATATTTTTCTAATTTTTCACTTCTCAAAATGAATAGTACGCACGTGTGTATTTGGAAGAAGGATATAAAAATTGGCATTTATTTGTAAGCATTTCATCAGGATATTTAGCATTAAGAAGTAGATAGCTGGAATCAAGCAGTTAACAGTAGGCAAGCAGTCGCCTGTAAGCAGTAAGCAGTGGTCAGTAGGCATAAGCAGTTGACCGTAACGTATGTAATTTATCTTTCACATGTTTAAAGTTATTTAAAGCATACACTTGCGGTAACCGCAATAAATAAATTATTTACTTTCTACAATATTAAGTCCCACAAGTATCACATAATACCGGGCTATTACAGTATTACCTGACTTATAGTACTTATTTATAATATATGGACATCATATGCTATCTCTTCAGCACATATGAAGCTCGACTGGAATTTTGACCAGCAATTCTTTTATTTTGTGCCAAAATCTCAATAAATGTTTCAATAAGGGTTTGTTTGAATGTTTAGCGTCGTGGTAAGATTTCTTATAAACTCTGTATATTGAGTCCATTTACATTTTTAGTTTGTAAACTTCAGTCAGAATAAAAATAATGAGAAACTTGTCTACGTAAATGACGTACGGACGCACGAACGATGCTCGTAACTGAAGAAATACGTGTACTTTGTTCATATATAATCATGCTAGATAAAAAATAACCTACACTACTTTAATTCTATTAAAACCGTCCCTGAACACACATTATGTAACAACCAAAACATTCTGTGTAATTACGCAAAAACAAGTGAGCTAGACGATGGCGCTATTATGAATTCCTTATTCGTTTTAGGTGAACGGTCAATATCAAGGACGCTTTATAAATGCTGATAACGAAAATGCTTTCTCCAAAATCAGTGTTAATTACAGGATGTAACCGTGGCATTGGACTGGAATTTGTCAAGCAGTTCCTTCAACTGACGAAACCGCCACGGTTCCTTTTCGCTTGCTGTAGGAATCCGGAACAAGCAACGGTACCGGAAGCAAACTTATTATGTAAAATGTTTCACGGTGGTAGAATGTTCACCGGATGTAAATAGCATTTTTACAACTATCTGAAGTTTTGTCATTTATAAATACGTAACTGCTAAATATTTTTGGAGATGCTGACGGTTGAAGGTTAGGAATCACAGGGGGCCACACAGTGTTTGGATGGTATATACTGCTTGATAGTGACCTTAAAATGAGATTTTAGTCATAACCTTATATATTTATATACATATTATAAGGTTATGACTATTTAAAATCTCATTTTAAGGTCACTATCAAGCAGTATATACCATCCAAACACTGTGTGGAATATATTTATATACACATTATAAGGTTATGACTAAAATCTCATTTTAAGGTCACTATCAAGCAGTATATACCATCCAAACACTGTGTGGGCCCCCTGTGTATTAATCCGTAGAAGCAGATATCAACGATTTCGATGAACGAAGATGTTTTAAATTACTTATTTGTTCTTTGATGATACAGTTCTTGATTTTAATATATACATTTTTTTTCAGGACTTGAATGTAATTGCAAAGTCAAATTCATCTGTAACAGTTCTTCAGATAGGTTAGTTTTCAAGGGAATTATTTATTGATTAAAATTTTAGTGGTAAAATTGTAATGTTTAACCCGAAAGCTTTTATCAGCACGATAAGGGTAACCTTAAGGCTTAACACTGTACAATACATGTATATGTCCCAGATTAAGTCTCAGGTAAAACAAAAATGTTTTCATTTCAGTAAGTATGTACGCATTTGTTGTTGTATATTTTGCGGTACTTTCAATTAACATTCATCTTTTTTGAGTCAAATTATTTAAATAAAACTTTCAAATTATCTTTAGTGATTTTTGAATGATACCAATTCAGAATTGTATTTAGTTACTTCCATACATACTATTCGTTGTATAGATCAACTCTCTTTAAGTTTTGCAAGATAACCTGCTTTTTCACTTTACTTTGACTATAAATGTACTGAATTAATACTTTCGTAAACCTACATTTTAGTAAATTCAATTTTGGCTTTGTGAAAGCATTTTAATCTTATCAACTTTCTCATCTTTACTAGAAGGTAAGATTTACATAGATATTCATGCAATTCGAAATAGCCGAGGGTACAAAAGTAATATGTGGCGTGTCCGGCAGTACAAGACAATTTCGGGACCTTGTTTTTTTAAAATTTCTTTACCGTTAGCGATGTCTGTTTAAAGATTTATATTTGACTTAATTAAGAATGTCTTTACGCTGTTTATGATCCTTTATTTGATCCTAGACTATGTTTAGGTTTGTTGTTAAGATGATGAAGCATTTGTTATTATGCCTCTTTGCAGATGTAACAAAACAGGAATCTATTGACAAAGCAAAGGCATATGTTGCATCAAAAGTTGAAGGCGACGGCTTAAATCTATTAATCAACAATAGTGGATTAGTTGGTCGTCAAGGTGTTGAAGATGTAACGAGAGAAGATATGCTCAAGTGTTATGAAGTTAATGCGATCGGTCCTTTAATGATGGCACAGGTACTGATATATTATTATAGATAAAAGCATGAAGTTCTGTGGCCATAAGTTGTTGGTGAAGTTGTTAGAAATGACGAAATAATAACAGAATTTGGATACAATACAGTTCACAGTTGAAGAGTCGAGATAAACATTTTATTAAGTGTGAAAATAACCTTTTGGATTGAATACTGAAGAAATTGAGATAAATAATTCGAGAAAATAAAATATATTCTATATATATAGATAAGAAAGGAAATCGGAATTCTAAATAACGAAAATTCGAGAAAAGCAAAGTCGAGGTAAAGATAGTTGTCTGTTCACAGAATCATGATCATTTGATTTACACGATATTCAGAGTCATTTGTATCATTCATACGAATTTTTCACGGAGAAGTCTTAAAGTTTCTATGGAAATATTTCAGGCATTTCTACCATTGTTAAGACAAGCTGCTAGCCTTTCCCCATCAGAACCATTATCATGCAACAAAGCTGCCATCATTAACATGTCCACTGGTGTGGCGTCCATTTCTGAAAATTCTTCAGGCGGAAGATATCCGTACAGAGCTTCAAAGGTACGGTATACTTTTTTGTATATTTCTTTTTATGACGCATCTCTTTAAAACAAAGGGTGTTTAAAAAGGTTCTTGGGCTGCGGCTCTACTTTTCACATCCTCAATTTTACAAGAAACAGATATTGGAACATGTCCTTAATATATCGTGAAAAAATCGAGAAAATATGTTTACAAATAACAATTCTGTGAAAATTACAAAAATCAAGGGGTATGCGACCCGGCGCACGCTCGTGATACAACAAAATGACATTAATGACGTAAACTAAACGTACACGTTTATAAACTGTGTCATGACGTTTCGAATGTAAAACAAAAATGTTTAAAAAACGGCTTATATTGTTATTGAATCCAGAACTACTCTGTAAACAAAAACAATTTTAGCAATAGTTTTTTTATGTTCCATCATATAGTGTTACAACAACTGTTTTTGTAATTTTAACCTCCAAATACATGACTGGTACCATTTTCGTTATCTTACTTTTAAACTCCCATCCATAAAAGCGTGTTCAGTTTATCTCCGTACTTAATTTTTTCTTTGATAGGCGGCCTTGAATATGATCACGTCAAACCTTAGTCTGGATTTAAAGACAGATGGTATTTTATGTACAGCTATACATCCAGGATGGGTAAAGACTGAAATGGGAGGTCCTAATGCCTTGATAAGCACAGAAGAATCTCTCAAAGGGATCATGTCTGTTCTGGAGAAACTGCAAGGAGAGGAGGGTTCTGGGAAATTTTATCATGGTGTCAGAGGTGATTTAATCGGATGGTAAAGAGTGAAAGACAGTTGCTATTGATATACGCTATGCCAATGGAAACTCAAGTTTTTTAACTATGGATGTAAAACATGACTAGAGAAAAAATTCTGCTTCATTCTGATTGTGTTTGTTTAAATTGTTTGTTGAAATTCTCATATACGTTTTATATTATATAGGATGCTTGCACATACTCACTATTTTCATAAAATCGTATCGCTTTTATGAATATTCGACTAGTACTGGTATTTTTTATCCTTACTGTTTAATGTTTACAAGAATAAAAACGTTTCTACAATAACATAAAGGAATTTTATAATACAACTATTTTGTTCGTTTTATATTTTCCACCGTGTCAGCAGGATGACCAAACTGTCCTTTTTAACAATTGCATGCCACCATATTCATCGGTCGCTTCATGTTTGTTTTACGTCGCACCGATACAGTATAGGTCATTTGGCGACTTTCCAGCCTTACTGGCGGAGGAAGACCTCCGGTGCCACAAGAATTATTGTCAAAATAATAACCATTGTAACTGGAGCAGTTAATTGCAGTTCAATATATAAAAATGCTCTACTTTGAAGATCACTTACTGCATAGTAACAAGACGGAAAAGTCCAGTGGAATATGGTTCTAGAATCGTTATTAATCGCAATAATTTAAAACGTTGAACTCTTTCTTTCTTAAGCACATGCAATTCTTTAACATTCTGCCTATAACAATCTTAGCCAAACGTTATTCTGGACAGTGACTTAAGTGTATAAGGCGATAAGAACTCGACAATTTGATGCAAATAAATGTATTAAAGCTACAAACACAGTCATCGAATTTAGCACTGGCCCGGTGGCCCATGGCCAGTGAAAATTAGTTCGGGCCAGTGAAAATTTAAAAAAAAGTAAAATATTTACATGTACTAGAATAAATTCAAAAGTGGAATTCGAGCTAAAATCTTAAATCCATTGACTACAAACATAGATGAAGTGCCATAATGTTGGTGAAAGTGCGCATGCCTGCATTTCGAAGTTTTATTGCAAAATGGTAAAACAAGTTGCATCGTTCTTTGCGCCAGTCAGCAAGATGGTTAGAGGGAGGCTCTCGGTAATGTTATTTCTTTTGGCCCACCTCTATCTAACAAACACATCAAAACAATGATTTTAATAGTACATTATTTTGTTACATCCAAGAAGTTACTTATACATTTTGAAGATTTTTTTCCTAATTGTACATGTACTCAATAAAAAGCGTTGAGATAAATATTATTTAAAGACTAATACATTGAGAAAAACATTCTTAATTGTACATTTATTTATATTAAGGATAGTTTCTAACAAGAACATTGGATTTACATAAATGATTGCAGAATTATTTTAACAAAGCTTGCTTATTTAACAAGAACAATGGTATTAGAAGATGACATTTGGGTTTCTCGATGAATAGAAATATATTTTTTCTTTCATACATAATTAGAGTGAGGTCATTTAAATTGTAAAATGAAACTCATCATCAAGCCCCTCACTACTACAAATTGTGCACAATCGTTCATTTCTTTCTAGAACAGTTCGAGTATATACTAGACTCTATCGAAAGTTAAGAAGTGTGCGTTTTTTTAATTTACACAAATGCTGAGACAAATACCATGGCAAGACTGTTAATTAGGTTATAATGAGAATTCACTTTTAAAAACAGGATGATTTGGGCATTTGGAAGGAACACACCTGCATAACAATGCTAAGCTTGCACAAATTGGTCTTGTAACCTGATGGCTTAGGCAATATTCTGTTAAAGTTTTAATACTTACAAGACCAAGCCAAGGGCTAGCAAATTAATAATTGAAATACATGTACATATATTATAAACAACTTTATATATAAATGTGAAGAAATATGTTCAGACTTTTCTGTAATCATTCTAATCTAAAAGTTTAATATTCTGGAGTATTCAATACAGTATTGGTTAACTAATATTTTTACAACATGTATACAGTAAAGTTTACATACACACAACAATTTAGTTACGAACAAAGTTTGGAAACTTACTGTTATACCCTATTTTACAATTGTGTTTTATTCCTCAAAGTTTTAATATAAGAATATTATCATGTTTACGCAAATTACCTACGTTTATTCCCTGCGGTCTGGAGACCGCAGGGTATTGGTACGCGTTTAACTTTTGAGGCATGGAGGAGCACGTGACCTGTTTTCGGTACATGGAGGAGCATGTGATCTGTAAACCGTACATGATTGGTTAATTGACCTTTTCGAAAACCTGGCTAAATACCGTTTGCCGGTACGTTACGGATTTACCTCTAGGGAATTAGTCAGAGTGACACCTAATTAAAAACAACAAACTATTACGTGATATTTCTAATTTTCTACAATTATTTTACCGTTTAAGGTGGAAAAACTTGAATGATGTGTTTGAAAATTATCAATGTTTAATATGTATCTCAAATTTTACAAACAATAAATTGTTTATACTGAACAGTGAACATATACAAAATTAAAATATTCGTAGTGGCATCTGCCAGAATAAATAGAGATATTTTCTGCGTAAAGTTGTGTGTTTACTTTTTTTGCTAGGAATTTTTCATAAAATGGTAGGCCTAGTTAATCATTTTCTTAAAAAGAAATAATTGTTTTATGTTCGACCTTCTCCGGTCATTAACGTCACCAGTTTCCAAAGACCTTCTTCTATATTGATCGATTATTGTCAACTATATTCCCGATAAAACCGTTTATTTATTCCCCCCAAACAATGTCGAAAATAGTTAAATGAAATATCTTTAAAAATGTTCCCCGCAGGAAACCATTTTACTTGTATCACTTTCTGTTTTAGGTTTTACAAATTTACTTTGCTATTTTATGCTGTCCTAGGTAACGTATTAATTTATTTTATTCATACACTGAAAACCATAGTGTTTATCCAAATATTATTCACCTTATTTTTTAAAATAGTTTGAAGTAACTTATAGAAGTATTTTTGACCTACAGGTAGATCTATATTTATAAATATAAATTAATAAACAAAGCCAAAGGTCACGGCACCAATGTACCAGGCTCTGCTTTGTATAATTCGTACTGATGTTTTATCATATAGAATAGTCTTTTTTCTAAATAATTTGGCCGTAGATCTACATGGTGAAATTAGGAACACACAAGTCAAATGAACAACAACAACAAGCTTTTTAGTTCACACTATTATACTTAAATTATAATATTTATTTTGCAATAAGCATAAATTAAATGATGAGAAATAAATTCTCAAATTATAATGAAGCACTAAGGCTTCGAATGTGTACCGGAGCTAACAAAATGAAGAAAAGGCACGAGCTTACGTGCAGAAATCACATGACCAAATAAACAATTAAACATTTGATTGAAATAGAAGGAAATAACCAATGAATGAAGCCGTAACAAATTAACTTAGGCATGGACGACAAAATGGCAGCGCCCATGAAGTAACGATAACTGAATGCAGCGTAAATGAAACAAAAGAATTTAAGTTAAATACGCATTTAAGAGGCGAACTATTACACATACATAATTATTTTAAAGTGCGAAATATATCAGGGCCGAATCGGAATAGAGTACATTCGCACTTGACTAATTTCAACTCTGCAATGTTGACACCAAAGTCAGTTTTGATTACCGGTTCCAGTCAGGGCATTGGCCTGGAGTTTGTTAAAGCCTTCCTGAAGTTGACATCTCCTCCAAAACATATATTCGCTTCTTGTATCAACAAAGAACAAGCGGGGGTAAGATCTATTTATAAATTAAGAATCAATTAAATCTCTGAAATAGGCAAAAACTACGTCGCCAATTATCGTTCAATTAACAGTCAAACGGTAGGTATATAAGTTTATTGTATATTTTACCGTTAAAAGTAAAATGATCAATATTTGATTATTGGTTAATCAAAGAACATGGATCATAATTGGTTCTAATTAAATAATTAATTAACTTAGACCATGAATTTATCTAGGCCAGCTCAGATCAGCAACTGTTACACAAACATTTCAAGTTTTATTATGATACTTGTACATGTTTTAGTTACACCCATATTTTCATGATTGAGTACATATCAGATGCTGCTACTGATATATGCTCAAGCATCATACTGGAAATTAGGTCAACTATATTAAAATAAAATAAAATTGAATCATTTACTTTAATTTTTTCTAAAAATTCTAATTTTAAAAAATTCTAATTCTATTTCTGATTTTAGGGTTGTGTACATAAATAGAATTCTTGTTACTGTGTGAGTTGTATGATGTAATTTTATGTGATGTTTGATTGTAGGCCTAGTGTTATATTTGCTTTTAATCATTTAATGCTTTCTTACCCATATTTATATGTGCTGATAATTAAATCTTAACTGTTTTACAGAGTTTTTCATAAATGTACATTGATCTTCTTAATACTTTTATATATTTTCTTTTATACAGATTGTTTGTTTGAATTGTTAAAGGATAGCCAGTTATGTCGGAAAATAGCTTATATAGCTAATGTTTATATGTTTTTATGAAACCGACTATAGATAAAGATTATCTTATCTTATATCTTATCTTATGGACAAATCTTTAAATTAAAGTTTCTTCTAAAAACCCCATATATCTGTTGCTTCAAAAGGAATAGTGGATTTTAAGAATTTGATGCTTTGTCCATTGAAAATAATATCACCATTCGTTTGTTTTTATATGTATCTATTTATTCATTGTACAGCAGATTATTTTACAAATATATTTAGGATCTGGACGAAATAGCAAAGACCAATCCATGCGTGAAAGTCATTGAACTAGGTTCGTATTTATGTGTATTGACCATAACTTACCATGTTTCCTGTGTATAATTAACACAACCAACTTTATCTTTAGAGCCACCCCTAAATCATTGTTTCAAGGGTTTTCATGAAATGATTCTTTCGGGCATATTATGTTATACCCCCTGGCATCCGTCTGTCCGTCTGTTAGCAATTTGGTTTCCGGAGCATAACTAAAGTTCCATTTGGCCCACAATATTCAAACTTCATATGATAATGTCCATATTGGGTAGAAGACCCCTATTGATTTTGGGTTCACAAGGTCAAAGGTCAAGGTCACTATTACTTTAAAACTGAAAACAGTTTCTGGGGCATAACTGAAGTTCCATTTGGCCCACAATATTCAAACTTCATAGGATGATTGTTTGTTTTGTTTGTTTGTTTCATTTTACGCCTTTACCCAACAGTATTTCAGTCATACAGGCGGGTAGTTTCCTAACAATCGTTCCTGGAGAGTTACACCAGTACTAGACTATCTTCCTCCGTGCTTAACTATCAAGTATCTCCCGGGGATCGAACCCGCACCAGAGAGGTAGCCGGATTAGAAGTCATCGACTCTAACCCCTCGACCACGGAGGCGGTACATAGGATGATTTTCCATATTAGGTAGAAGACCCTTTTGACTTTGGGGTCACAAGGTCAATGGTCAAGGTCACTATTACCTTAAAACTGAAAACAGTTTCCGGAGTATAACTTAAGTTCCATTTGGCCCAACTATATTCAAACTCCATAGGAGGAATGTTATTTGAAGGAGGTAATACTTTATTTTACTCCCATGTCTTATAAATGCTTCATCTTTACTAAACCAAAAAATCCCTTTCGGGCATATAATACTCCGCCTAGCGGTGCTCTTGTTACCTAATGTAATACATAAAATTTAAGGTACTTAGATTGAACTGTCAACTGTCATTTAAAGTAAGGTCAGCATTTGTTGAATTGTATTGACTTTAATCTGGGACTAAAAATGTAATTTTCTGTTCATGCTTTAATGTACTGCTGACATTGCACTAGCCCTCAAACTTTAAGAAGAAGTATGTCTGTCAGAATGGTCTGATTTAGGCATAAACATCTTAAAAATAAGATTTTTTGAATAGTGGCATATTTAAAAAATGAAATGTAAAACTTAAAACTTAGATAAATGTCCATTTAAGCATGCTCATAACATATAAATATTCATGGTTGAATTGGTTATACCTGGAAGACTTTAAAGTTTAAAGTCCTCCTAGCTGCGACATAATAAAAATTGTATGTGTCTTTTTATGTTTCAAATGATTGATAAATGAAATACAAATGAGCCGCGTCACGACAAAACCAACATAATGGGTTTGCTACCAGCATGGATCCAGACCAGCCTGCGCATCCGCGCAGTCTGATCAGGATCCATGCTGATCGCTATCAGTTTCTCTCTACTTGTAATAGGGTTGGTAAGCGAACAGCATGGATCCTGATCAGACTGCGCGGATGACCAGGCTGGTCTGAATCCATGCTGGTCGTAAACCCATTATGTTGGTTTTTGTCGTGACGCGGCTCAAATGCATTTAAATGCACTTTCACTGATCTTGCTTAGAGAAACCAGCTTTAACATATTTTGCAAAATATAATTGAAATATTTACCTAATAGAATAGTAAAAATATCAACAACGCTCATTTCCTATTCTAATCCATACTAGTAAAAGTTTTTTACAAATGTACATGTTTGACTGTTTTGACAAAAATAAACTTTGAAACATAATTTTGACTCTTTATTTAGATGTCGAGAAACAAGATTCAGTTGAAAAGGCACGCGATGTTGTACAGTCGACAGTCCAAGATGAAGGTCTGAATTTACTTGTAAACAACGCAGGAATACTGAAACGGATGGGCTTCCATGATGTAACACGTGAAGATATGAGAAAACATTACGAAGTAAACTGCATTGGTCCACTAATGATGGCAAAGGTAATTTTAACCATAAATATAGAAATAATAATACATGTACCAATAATCTTTTGAGGAAAACTGTTTCAGAAAATGATCTTAAATCATCCAGATATAATTTGATTTGTAACTATTTTGTTATTATTTAGATTGTATTTGATTCAGTGCCTGTTTATTAAACCATCAAACCACTAAAATATTCAACATTATCAGCCAAAAGTGTGTTTGTTTCTTGTATTTATAAGTCTAAAATGTTGCTCAAATGACTTCAGACATTTTATCCACTATTGAAACAAGCAGCAAGTCGATGTCCAGGTGAACCCATGTCTTGTAGTAAAGCTGCCATTATCAATGTTGGTTCAGGTCAAGGGTCAATAACAGAAAATGCATCCAGCGGAATGTACCCATACAGGGCATCAAAGGTTATTTCTTGATTCATTACTGTTTTGCTTAAGATAACTAGTCGTTTGAAGACATGCTAAAAAGATTTTTTTTATGATATTATGTCAATGGTTTCAAGTATTCCTATGAAAAATGCAAAAGAATTTGTTTCATGTTTTCTTTTATAGAAAGAGAAGAAAATCGTTATTATTAATGTTGAGCATTTTTTTCGTAAAAAATTTTTGGAAAAAGAATTGCAGGGCTATAAATAAAATTTCTTAGCTCAAATTCAGATCTTGGGTATTAAGATTGGTCAGAAAGCAGCACATAGAATTCACTGTTAAATGAAAATTCTGAGATTCAATACTGAGCCAAGACAAAAAAGTTTTTATGTCCTCAAGGACTGGTTAGTCAGTGTGAGGCGCAATACACTATACTAGGTAAATACAACAAAATTGAATTGAAAATGTTGCAGGCTCAGTTTGAGCCTGTTCATGAACGGTAATCTGTTGTGGTACATGCAATGTATCTTGCACCGGCTTACGCAAAATTCAGCATTAAAGAGAAATGGTAGAATTTTGAATTAAGAAAGGTTCCCAGAAAAACAAAGCCAATATTTTATTTTCTTTAGATAAAAACACGATTTTGCCAATACATGCATTCAGTGCATTACAACGTAATTTTATCATTACATGGGACACACAAATTGTGCAATTACCAGTAAAAATGAACGCAGCTACATTTGTTTGTTTATTCATGTGTTTCTTTTGTTGGATTTTAAGTAACATGGACACTGCATCTAGTTCATATGGCAACTTACTGATGAAGGAGGACATGAGATGCCTCTTTGTGCATTATTTCAGGCACAAGCAGGCAACCAATTCTAACCAATGTCCTTCCTTAAAATAGCTGAGAAATATAATTTTAGATTTTCTTTGAACCCGTTTCGTATAAGATAATTAACATATTTTTACTTTTCTTATATAGTGTGCACTAAACATGATGATGACATGTTGGAGCATTGATTTGAAAGCAGACGGTATACTGTGTGCATCAATAGCCCCAGGCTGGGTAAGAACCTCCATGGGAGGTCAGAACGCTGCTGTTACCACGGAAGAAAGCTTGAAAGCCATGTTTGAAACCATGGAGAAGCTTGGGGATGAAGATACTGGCAAATTTTTACATGCAACAAGAGGAGGAACTGTGGTACCCTGGTAGATCCAGCTCTGGAGATTGTTTGTAAGAATTTTTGGTTCTTTGTTGAAACTTTAGTTTTTATGTTATTTTTTTTGTATGTGTATTTTAAGTCACACCAAAATGCTTGTTTAATTGTTGTTATGACTGTCTATTATAATTATGTAATTAATTTTTTATTTTGAATTATAAGTTGACAAGTATGGCCTCATACAAGTTTATTTTGTTAAGATTTTTTTTCCAGGTTAATTAATTAATATGATTATATTGGTCTAAGTTGTTCTTATCAGAGGTTCTCCAGCCTCACAATAATATTATGATGCTCTACTGACCAAGCTTTTAGCTCCTTGTGTTTTGACTGTGTTACGTGAATAATTTGAATATATTCATTGTGTTTCACAATATTTCATCTCTTTCATTTCAGGCACTCCGATTGGAAGAGAACAATTGGGGGAAACTTGCAATTTTGCAAATGGTATTTCCATAATTTCATAAATTTAGATCTAATGAGATCTATTTACTTTATTTCAATTTTGACAATGTTTTAAAGTTTAAATTATAATTATGTTAAATGACATTTGATATGGATGTAACCTTTTTAAAAAAATATACATGTATATTGTTTTGGTTTATCACAGACTTTATTAATATTATGTTAATATTATTAATGATGTATTTGATATGAATGTATAAATAAACAAGCACTATGATTATAATATCTAAACATGTATGTGTTGATTCCTTACCTTCACATACCTTCGTACCTTAAAACTGGTTACAACAGTTTACTTGTAAACCCAAATGCCTCTCATATAAGGGCATAATGGATTAAAGGCAATGGTCATGTTTTTTTTACCAAGAATCTTAACATTTACCCATGTTTATCTATCTATGTGATAAGTAAGAAACAGTTATCAAGCCACCCTGTATATTACGTCATAATAGCCCTTGCATGACTGTTTTGAATGCTTTGCTACATCATCATCTGGAAGAAAAGTCAAGATATTCTTAAAGGCATAGCGATTTATGTTCTTGACCATGTGAGAGTCATATTATTATTTCACTTCTACTGGAGTATTATCATTGCTTCATGCATTTTTTAACATTGTACATCTTGTCCTTGCCACAAGTTGAATATATATATGTATAGTAAATGGCCAGAGGCAAACTTATTGCCGATTGCCTAAAAACTGGACTAAACTGTTTCTTTCTTTCTGGCGGTTTACAACATATGGAATATTTTTATAATCAAATGATACTTTCAGAAGCAATATATCCCATATTGACCTTCAGCATTTGATAGTTTCAGACAATATATCCCATATCGACCAACCTCTGGTATCGTGGAAAACATATAAATAACTTTTCACACTAAAAACAAATAATAAACAAGGTTTCATCTTTCATAATTTATTGATCCGTCTTTTAAAACAGATTCTTGTACAAGTTAAAGTCTCCAACTACAGTTGAAAACGGTAAAATGTGTAAAATTATGTTGTTATGTACATCTAAGATTACACATTGGTATCACACACACAAAGAAAGGAACATGGCGCTACACATAAAAAGTCAACACTAGATCAGCAACAATAAATGTAGATGTGGTATAAATGATAATATCTACTCGCAATAACACATCAACAACAACACAGTGTACAATAAACAGCTTACTGGACGCCTAGTCTACACAGCTTAAATCAATATGGCGTAAGAAAATAATGCATATGCTACTGTCGTATGTGTAAACATCACATATGTCAAATAAAACTCAATAAAATATTTTGTTAGTGACTAAAATTGCGGGAATTTCAACAAAGATCATAAATCATAAAACTCTACAATAAGAGCTATGTGTATAAAATGCTTTCAAGATGCTTAAATCAATGACAAAATATTTTTATTTCACATTTAAAACGGCTAAAAATCTTTGTTGATTTTTCTTTACTCATCCAAAATGCCTCTCTTTCCTATTCAATATTCCTTCACAAATCTCAAGTTTCATGAGCATGAAATAAATGAATTAAGACATAAACATACAGAAGTGCCTATAAAGCTTTTAGCTACACCGACTTCAGCCGTCCAACTAAGCTGCCTGTTGTACACGGTGAATTACAAATAAATATATACAATTGATTGCACATTGTAGTTGTTTAGTACATGATATATATAATATATATATATTAAATACAAGTGAGACAAATATTTACACACAGAAAACATATAATGTACATGGAATTTTGGTCCTAATTGGTGTATTTTAATGTAATTGTGGTAAAAAATGAATCAATGTGAAAAATGGAGGTAAAGTGAAAGTAAAAAATCCTTTTTTTTTTTTTCCAAAACAGCCAGTTTCCATCAGTTTTACAAATCCAATCTAGAAACTTACAGCAATTTATCAGAATAATATAATATCCTACATAAAAAATCTGCAGAAAATTGTGTAAAACACTTTTATTCTGTTTGATTTACAAAACATTTAAAAACATTTTAAATTGGTATCAAATAAATGCAGCACAAGATATGATATACTACAGCACAAAACTTTCTAGAGATCAAACCACTAACTTTCTGTATTTCTACATGACAAAAACGTCATCATTATCCAATACCAGTCATAAATAAACAAAAAGTTATATTCATTTAATAAAATATATTCATTATAAATAATTATAGTGAGTTCACTTACGTACGCACATTTTACGCACTTTAGTAGTAAGTGCTTAATAAGTTGTGTACTTTCATTAAGTTGTGTGCTCTTTATAAGTTATATGCACTTAGAATAATCTTTTAATAGTACATTTTTTCTATGTTAATGGAAACATTTGTGTCTTAATAAACTTACTAAAATCATTTCCGTACCTAAATAGTTTGTGTCAATTTAGATGAGCACACACACCGACTTTATTCACCTTATATAAAAAAGTAAAATTTGTTTAAATATTTTGTATTTTTGCCAGAAAAGCATGTTAATTGGAAGAGTATGTTTAAAGTTACATTATACCAAATAATAAACCATTTGATTAAGCCAGTGTAAGTGTGTAACTATATGTTTACCAATACAATATTGTAATAAGACAATATAGTGAGGATTTCTATACACACTGTTTAAATGTTACACAATACAATTATATAATGGATACAGGATTTGCAAGTGAAAATGTCCAGCATTTTGGCACAAACCATATAATAATAGTCTAGAATACGTTCCTTGATAAGTTAATACAACATGCATTAAATGGAGCTCTACAGAGCTAAAAATAGTGATAAATTCAGTATTAAAAAAGTTCACCCAAAGCTCAATAGAGCTTTAAACTTGACAGAGCTTTCAGCTCGACAGAGCTTAACATAGAATGAAGTTCTGTCTTAAAAATGCACCAGCGCAATAAATGTAATTATAAATATAGAAATTATCAATTGTTTAAACAAGTATCATTTTTAACACCAAAGTAATCTTCTGTAGAAAAGATATATTATAGTTATGAATGAATTAAGAATTCTTTTTTGATTTTAATTTTACTGCAAGTCACTATTAATGTCCACAATAAGCTATATAACATTACTTTTCTCTTATAACATTGCTATATCTCATTCTGGTATATAAAGTTAATACATTCAAGATAAATCCATGAAAATAGAAACGACAATAAATTTACAGATACATTTTTGTAATACTCTTGTTAGGCAGGTTCAAGTTACTCTGAATTTTAGCCATTTTTCTTATATATATACCTGTGAGTCACTTTAACACATATGCCATATATAATTATGTTACACATGATTTTTTCTTAAGTTAACAGTCACAAGCATATGGCTTAAATGCTGCATATGCCGTTTAATGTCTGAATTTGAACACACAGCTCAGTTTATCTTTACCACCACACATCGCACCAGAGCTAGAAGGGTCCTCTACTTGGCGAATGTGCAGAATCTACACATAAGTTTGGCTCCCGGCTTTGTTAGTTCCGTTTATATCTCTATATAGGAGACTGGAAATCACCAACAAGTGACTGGAAACTGTTTTTGTCAACATCGGAAACTATTGTTTTCAATCGCACACATTTGTTTACACCTCTGTACCCTCGGGCACGGGTCGTTTCAGATTTAATGCACTCGCTTTACTACGGGCAGCTCCTGTCATTGCCAGTTTTGATGTTGGGGTCATGGTGGGTGCAGTGAGCGCAAGACCTTTCATCAGGCTCGATTGGCTACCCTGGCTACCAAATGACATCTCGGTGCTATTAGCACTACCTGTACTTCCAGAATGCTGTAAAGAAAAGATGATCAAATTAATATGATTGTGTGATATAAATGCAAATCTTGTAAAAAGTTTCATTTGATAAATTAAAACACAATGATTATAATCATTAACCTTTAATTTAAATTTCTTGAATTGACTTGTCCAGCTTTTATTTTTAGAACAGTCCCAATAACAATTTTGGGGATATCAAGATGAAAATTAAAGTTAGTCAACCAATGGACAGGCTGTCGTGGTGTAATACTGGTGGCTAAGTGCAGGCCAGTCTGACCCAGATTCTTAACTAGAATTAAGCTACCAAAGTTTTGATTACTTTGATATTAAAATCCGCAAACTTAAACTGGACTGTTCAAAATCAAACCGGACATATATATTCATTAATAGTGAAAGGATCAAAGAAATCTTTTAAGTTTACCAATGACCTTATCCATTACACAGAACAATTCCTATCTGTACAAAAAGCCTTTCATTTGATTTTAACAAGGCCAGAATTTACCAATTAGTCTGTATAACTTGCATAATTATAAAGTTGTAACCATTTTGGACATTTAAAAATTTCATAAAAGTTTTCATAATTTTGAATCTGGAGATATGCTTCTTTAAATAAATTTAACACTCTTTAAGATATTTTCTTTCTATAACAATAAGATATAAGGAAAAGTAATGAAAACTTACAACTCCACTGTCGAGGGAACCACCGCTGCTACCTCTGCGCATCGCCTGAGCTGAAATCACAAAATTAATACAAATATTAATACTAACATTCTCCATGAGATCATTCTTAGACAAACTTTTATAATGTTTCTTTAGTGCAATATCGGGTTAACACCTTATATAATTTAATAGGAGTTAACCTGTTACTGTACTAAGGTGATGAATTAATTAAGATAACTTTGATATTAAAGAAAATCAATATTCTGGCAAAATCTATTAATAGCTTTCGTCTTTTTTTATTTTATTGATATCTTTATGACCAAGGAATCATTATAGAAGTAAATTGTATTTAAGCTGAAGATTAGGTGACAAAATAAAAAAGATAATATAAAGATTATGTTAAAATCATATGAGTTATCTAAAATCCTAGACATGAAATTTCAAATTATTTTTCAATTAAATTTTTATTTGCATATTTTAATTATTTATTTTTATTTTTCTCTTTACATATACTGTGGGCATTGCTTTTATTTATTTATTTTTTATCTTTAATAATCTCAATAATTTAGGGTTTCGAGGGATAAATTTTTTCCCAAATTTTGTTTGAAGACACATATAACTTTATATTAGAGATTACATAATCAGTTTTCCCAGTAAATATCAAAAGAAAAATCAAGTTTACTTTCCACCAATATTTTTTTGGGAAAAAAAAACAACAGAAACAACAAAGAGTGAATTAACTAAACATCGAAAGCAACAAGACGGTCAAATAAGAATATAGTCAACTTTAAAATCAGAACAACATAAAAGTGTAATAAAATTAATATTATAAAAAAAATCTATAGTTTGTTCGAGTATTTACCAATTCCAGGGAAGGGAGTGCAAAAAATATTCAATGGTTTAGATTGTAATTTAGGCACATCGTCTTTGTATAGTAAAAAAAATCTATATTCTACTAACACCACTATAATGAGGGATTTTTGTTTTTGTTTTGGGCTGTGAACCAAAATGATTTTTGGATTTAAAAAGAAAAAAAGTAACATAAAATAGTGACCAGAAACAACAACACCAAAGATTGGGGGTAACTACCACTGACCATAAAATACTTCACAACAGTTTTAAAACTTCACTGAAATTAAGTCACAGACAATATAAAAAAATCAGCTAACATCGTGGGGAAGAAAAAATGATTTACAGACTCCGAGAAAAATTTACTTCTTTTTCGCATCATCCATATATGTGAATAAAATGTTACTTTGTTTTTAACGTTTAAGCTATTTTTAGAAACATTCAAAATGACCAATCAACGAAAGGGTTCTCAGATACAAATAAGAAATTTTAGAGAAAAAAAAAAAACTCAACATAATCAAGATAAGAAATCTCAATATGGGACTTTTTTCCAACAACCTCACATCAGTTTTTTAAAATATTCTTGAAGAACTTATATGAAGAATGGTCATTTTGAAAACAACACAATTTACATTAACAATATTCTTATAATGATAAAATCATACAGAAATCAAAATATTTGTTCCAAATTTATTCTTTACAATATGTTTTTACCTATATTATATTTTCAAAAACTTTTTGTTTAAAATTTGCTATATTAACTATTCTATTTCTTAAGCAGTTTACAGAAAAAATGAATTACCTCCCTTACATTATAAATTTTCTTTTAAAAGCTCTATCTACACAAAGAATATTTCAACACACCATAATCTGCACTTAGTATTGTTTCCTTGAACAATCTAGTCATTTTTTTGTATTTAAAACATCTAATTCTTTTACGCATTACATAAACATACATACAAAAAGCACATGTATGATAAATTCTTCATGATTTCTCCAGACTAATAAGGTATCATGCAATGATTTCTAAATAAGTTTTATTTTCTAGATATAAAAAGCGTGTAATACACAATGATTTCTTTTCTTGCAGTAGCTTCTGCCTTATCCACAAAAAAACGCCCATTACAGAATAATTTAAACATAGTCTTGGATAAATAAATTCTATGAATAGAATTTCTGTCTATAAATAGAATATCTATTTGCGGTAAGCGGAAAGCAGATTTTGATGTGTTAAAATGAGATATGACTCATGCAACATGCATACCTCCACAAAGATCAGTGAGAGAATTTGACAAGGGAAACGACTGCTTCAAGCCACTGTAATCAGGGGCAGACAACCTATTAGAGTTTGGGTCCGAGGTCTTCATGTAGTCGTACATGTTGATTCGTGTATCGTCGTTGGAATAGTGTCGATCTAGCGGAGTGTGAACTTGATTATTTCGCTGTTGTTCGTCAATACGCAATGATTCCATTCCGTTGCACTACAAAAAGTAACAAATATTGTTTGCATTTCATTTATAATTTATTTTTCTATCTTAAAAGAAAAATATATTTTGTATCGCAAACAAGGTTAGTTAACAATTTTGCAGTCATTTTCTAAATGACACATGTTTTATTTTCTAAATGACATATGTTTCCTGTCAATTAAACCTTAAGATCGACCAAATATTAAAATATTTTTTTAACTTACAAAACACATTCAAAATTACAATTATAAATAACTTGTAATTAATTGTGCATGATACCAAATAAATCAAACAATATAGGTTCATGTTATAACAAACATGTCATGGATATCTCCCTTTTTTTTCAAGATTTATTAAATATTCTAACATCTAGATACCAGTAAATTATCTCAATTATCCAACACCTTGCTCGATTATGACATTATTATTTGTTATTCAGAAGATTTTTGTTTAAAAAGCTACGATTCAGCAGATAAGTTACTAATATTCTGTCATGGTTAAGTCTTTATTAGTAATAAATCTTATTTCAATGTAGTTTCTTACTACACTATTTTAAGATCTCACTTGAAATAATCCAAATTCATTCACAGCTTAGTATTATGGTATCTTAGTAAAATGATCTGTATCATTAATCTATAAGTCATTTATCGAACATCAGGATCAACCGGCTTAAAGTTAAGGTTTTGACATGATGATAAACCCATTTTCCAAACCAGCCTTAATCTCATTCAAAATATTTATAATCCCAATGTCAAAACTAAAAATAAATTGTTGGCTTCTCTTTGGTTCGGTCTCATATTCACATTCATAGCTTGCAATGAAAATATTATTTTGATCTTATGATTTACACAGTTTTTTGTAGCGCTTACTTCTAAAATGGCTTCTTTCAAGTCTTCGACAAATTTCTGTCTATCATGGTCGTTTCTTGCGTTAAATGTAATATGAACTTTGCCGTCCAAGTTGTTGACCAGTCGTACACCAAAGGCATAATCTGGAAACCAGATAACATGATTACTTAATAAATAAATCAACTTTCTACATGTATAAATAATGTTATACTTTAAATTTTGTAACAAGTTCTTAAAGATTCTTATATATCTACTTTGAAATTCTTATTCTGATAACTTCTTTCGTCTGAAATAATCCAAAGCCCCTAGCAGAGGTCTAAGCCACAGCTGAGTGAGGGGCAAATGATCCACTATGATTACTTGTACTTTTTTCAATGTATTATTTTAAACATACTATAAGACTATGTTATGCTGACGTTTTAAATACAGGGAATACTTACGAGGTGTTTCAAAGAGGTAAACTTGCATATCACACAAAGAGAATGACTGTTTGAAGGAATACGTTATACCAGTCTTCTTTTTACTGAAGATTTTAGTCACCTGAAAAAAAACACATAACCATACCTATAGTAGTATATTGAACAAAACTTTTTATGAAAATAATTGAATTATCATGTATCAAAATGTTACTATCTGTTTGAGAAAGAATAACTACTGTTGTAAAAACTCTACCCATACAGTGAAGTATCAGTGCAAATTTATTGGTCTCGGTCAGATAGAAAGGAACCCTTAAATGTTTTTTTACATGGAAATACTGTCAGTTCAGAACGGTAACAGGTTAACCCCTGTTAAATTTTTCTACAAGTTAAAATGTTACTGCACTAAAGTGATGATATAAAATGTTACTGCACTAAGGTATTATGTACCAACAAGAACCTACTCATGTTTTATTCAAGCCTCTCTTAATATTAGAAACATCTTATTGAAACTATGTTACCAAACTATCACATTAAGCAATCAAAATATTTTTGCTATGCATTATGCATACCTGCATTTTACCTAGCTCATATATATGTTAATGTATAAAGTGTTATCTATCTCAGAGGAGCATAAAATGTAAATTTATTTGCATATTTTTTTCTGCACTGCATGGTCTCCCATGACATGATAATTACATTTCAGAGTGAGATGGCATGAACAATGGGAGAGATCTTATGACAGATTTAAAATAGCAATAATAAACTGTCATCTGACATACCAAATTTTGAATAATAGTAAAATGGTTAAAATTGTGCATTCGTGATCAAATTCACGCACAATTTTAATGGCAGTACTAAATTATTTACAAATATAATGTGTTGAAAATATGAAAGCAAATGATTTCACAATACAGAGTTGTAAAGTTGGTTTGTATTATAAGAATGTAGGTGAATTTTTTCTTCACGCCAGCTTTTTGTCTATACCCTTGGTAAACTCTAAAAGCACTTGGGAGTTTAAATTTAGGAAGAAATATTTGAAAGAAAAAGACAGAAAAATACAAAATCCCTAAAGAACGCCCAAAACGGCAAATTTGAAAATGGTGCCGGCTTGTTTTATTGAACCTTTTAATGGACTGTAGTGGTGAATGCAAGTCTACAACCATTCCCCCTTGAGCAATGAAATAAGTAATATAAGGCAACTTTTTAGGGTGTATAATGGCGTTATACAGGGCAAACTTACCAGTAATAGATCATTAAAGAGAAAGACTTCACGCTGGTGGAGACCGATTTTTTCTTTTTTATTTGGGTCATGCACCTGATACAGTCGACAGTAACAAACCAGTCTACGATGAGGTAGTGCCAGGGCCTGTAAAAATATTGGAACCAGTCATTCAATAACAGAAGTGAAATAAACAAATAAACAGTAAAACGACTCAATAAGATCAATTTAACAATGGTTATCTGTTTTGATAAAAAGATCATAAAATTTAATAAAGGGAGAAATTAGATACAAAAACACAAGATCCTAAAATATTAATGGAAATTATGAAATTCTATCCAAAATCTTCTAAACATAGGCTAATAAAATCAATTTTCTTTAATAATAATAACTTTTCTAACTTCATATATTTTGCAATTCATGATTAATTTCATTATAACAGCAACATGTGCACCATCTAACATCATAATTATATTCAATTCATACTTACAGGTTTTCTGTTACCAACAATAGTCTGTTCGACTTTCATGACTTGGGTCACATGATCAACTCCCGGCCGGAATTCCTGCGCCTTTACCCGCTCATATATACCTGTCAATAAATCACGATCAACATCTTCGTCATCGTCAATTCCTGCAAACAGTAAATAGAAAAATTTAATTTAACAAGTTAACAACATAGAAATCAAAGGTGAAGTGTACTTTTCATTAAAAATATTTTTCTACACACATATACATCATAGGTACACACGGACTTCCACGATTTCAAATAAATGCTACTATGTTACCCAGCAGTAAATTAAATTTAAATCTTTTTTTTCATCTAAAGTACATTCTATTTAATCTTGATAACATACTTAGATATCACATAAAAATGTACTTTTATAACCTAGGCGTGCCCGAAAAAAGAGTAAATCTCGATCACTAAAGTTGGTTTGGTAAGTTTTGTAATCATATCCAGCACGGGGATTTAAACTTAGTGGTAATAAATAGGTACATAATGAAACTGAAGCATCAATTTAAGTAATTAATATATCGCACCCTCCGTTTTTAATACCAATGATATCGCAACAAAAGAAATATGTAAATTATAGTTTCTTTTGGTTAAGCGTGAGCGAGTAACCGTACTTATTAAACAATATACCAGTAAACATTACAAGTTAAGTACCTAAATAGGAAGCTTTTACAATGACATTAAGTATGTGCGCGTAATAATCTTTTTTGTTCCGCAGAAGCACAGTTTTTGCAGGTGATATTTACATCTGCAGCTGGCATATCACATACTGCCATACAACACTTCATTAGAAACCTAATTCCTTCGGCCATGAACCGAAACCACATCTATCATTAAGTTTCAATTAGTTTTTCCCCTTCACAATTCCTGCGGCAGCGAAAAAACGTGCTCTGTTTCACTCAAGAGACCTATTTTATCAGAAATTTCCATTTTTTTCTGGTGTTGAAGAACTGCTTTTTATTCAACTGATATCATGAATGATACCGTTTTTGTTTTTTGTTGATGTTTTTTCATTTATCAGATATTTTAAGGTTTTTGCTCACGTCCTTTTCAAGAAAAACAAAGATTCTATTTTTAGCTCCCTTTAGGTGTTAAGCAGTCTGACATCTAACATTGTTTCTTGCCATCTTTTAATGCCATCTTGGCCTCAAAATAAAGGAATGCTGCTTCATCTTTTTTAATCACAGAACTTTTATTTTCAACTGAAAGCTGATTTTTATTATCGCAAAATCAAAATAAAACAAACAGCAGGAAATTAAGGTGTTTTCTCTGAAATGAAGCCAAAGTTACCAATAAGAACCTAATCCTACGCTAAATCATAAAAGATCATCAAATTATATTGCAATTTTTGGTGCTCTTCGCCAAAAATCCTTTTTTATCTGGTAAAAGAGGTGTTAAACAAAACAGGTGCGCTAATTTCAAAATAACACATTACATAATCGTGATAAAAATATTCAATACATACTTCAGGTGTATACAATATGTTTTTGATGAAAATTCTCAATTTTCTTCAATTTTTATTTCCTCCTTAAATTATTGACATGTAGTCTGGCGTTGAAATTACGCATTTTGGCATTTCAAGGTTTTTTCTGAACAAATGCACATTTTTGACATACATTCACCTATACAAGCAAGCATGTTTTTTTTCCAAGACATAACTCCCAAGTTGGTTTGCTGCTTTTTTTCACCCTGGTTTTCCAATTTTCATCATTCAGATAAACTTTCTGATATACAATGCAAGGTGATAAGTCACTCAAAATAATAGCCGTACATGTATAATCTTACGCCAAATTTTGATGGTCAATTAGAAAAAACGGCTATCATTTTCTGATCATATTAGATAGCAATTGCTTTTATTCTTCCTAAACATCTTAGTAATGAGATTTCCAGGATCTTAACAATCTTAAATCTTGATCTTGTCCATGATACTTCGGCATTTCTCATTTTTTAGTCTTAACGCCTACTACTCTAAAGTATTAGAACATATGTTTGTAATGATTTTGATTTATTTTCTCCTTCAATTTTTCAAGCAGTGCAGCGAATTCGGGATTTCGTTATGCCCGTAAACTCCGAGTTTTCAGAGCTCTGGGTATTAGTCATAGAAATTCTGTTTTTTCTTCGTACATGCAAACATCGTCATGTACACATGATCTAACACAATCTTATAAACTGACTCATTCAACATATAAAAAAACCCTCATCCTCCCATTTTAATAAACTTGATACATTCTTCCTCGGATTTCCTTTATAATTGCTTCAATATCGAATAATTACATTTGGTTCCTATCTGCAGATATTAAACCATTGTTTTATAGCAGTTGGTACCTAGCTCACTCTCGTAAATTTTAGTTTCGCTATGCCACTAATGCATGCAAACTGCAGATTTTATATCTAATATTTCACCACATTTTTCCATAGAAACAGAAAATGCCGTCTTTATTAATTAATCTGCAAGACTTAATCATCTGCGTAATAAAAATTGCATCATCTTTAATGTGAGGAGAGGAAAATATTTTGCCGTTACCTCTAAGATTCTTGATAAAGTCTTCCAGCTTCATTTTGCGCTCTTGTTTTATGCTAGCATTATGGAGGTCGGTGTTCAACATGATGATGGCAAATGCAAGTAATAACACAGTCTCATGGTTCTTGAAGTTCTTAACTTGGTCCGGGTTACAGTCAACATACCTCTCTGCAAACACCTGCATAAACATAAACATGAAATTATACATGTATTAAAAAAAAAAATCAAGCACAACTGAATTAAGTAAAACGACTTTTTACATGTTGAATGTATCAACTTTTTAAAAACCAACAAAGAGGGAAAATCTTTATTTTCAGATTTTTTTTTCATATAAACAATATTGAGATCAAGCATTTAAATCTAGTACAAACAGTTGGCACTCTTTCACACCAATTTACATAATGAAAATTATATTGTTAAACTCCAGGTGGATGAAAGAAATAACAAATATTTCACTTCAGGCACTTTTGTGAAACGGATACTTCTTAATACATGAAATTGGAACGAAAATTAGGATATTAAATTTTCATTGTTATGTCCCCGAGCCAAAACAACTGGAAATTGTTAATTGAAATTTTTCAAATGTTTTTCAATGCCTAGAAAATTTTGTAAAAGAAAAGCACCAAAAAAAAAAATCAGATATTTTTCTTTTTTCCGTGTTATCAACAACATTTCAAACATTTCTTTATATGGTAACTACTACATGCAATATTAAACTCCTTATCGTTATTTTTTTGCTAATTCTGCTGATCTTTATCGATAAGGACACGCAAATTAAAATCACAAGCTGGCTTAGGACGTTAAAGTTTCATTTACAATATCGCCTGACACAATAAATAAATATATCCGCTAAAACCACATCTGTACAAAGTTGTTATAACAGTCTAATAAATCTTGAGGTTTTCTTTTTTTCTTTTTTTTTCACCTAAATATTATTAAATATATTATCAAAATCTGACAATATTATTAAGTATGCCAGTTATGAGTGTAAGAAAACCACATGGTGCACTTTAAAAGTTCACTCTGTTTTTGATGTCAACAAGCCTTAAAATTAGTAAATTGCCCATCCGAACATTTCATTGAAAGAAGTACAAGCTGGTATTGACATAATTCTAAAATAAGTAACATTTCACATTGTGACTTACAGTTTAAACCTGTACTTTTATGAAATATAAGTACATAATAATCTGCAATATTACATGTTTCGTTTTTTATCAAATCAGCTAAAAAAAAATTTCCTTTATTCTCAAGAGAAGCAATATCGATATAAAAATCTGCTTATTTCATATGATATAAAGCAAATGTTTGACCTTTAGCACCTTTTTAGAGAAAAAAAAAGATTTTATAAACCCCTGCAAAGATGATGCAGTTTTTTCATCATTCATTTTTTTTACTGGAATATCCAGAGAAAAACAGAATTGCACAATCAGTCGCTGATAAGCATAAAACTGAACAACCAAATCGAAAGTTTGACGCCACCTCAAAAAAATCACCTCTAACCAGGATAAAAAAACTTTTTGACACCAGTAAAAAAACGGAAACACAAATTATTTTAACAACAACCCGTATCAAATGACTGCGTTTCCGAATTCTATTTTTAGAACTATCTCTTACCTCCATCAACCTCTCAATCTTCTGTGCTTCACCCTGAAATCATAGAAACATATGTTGCAGACATCTTTATTACATGTTTATAGTATCTAATATTTCCTTAAATCTATGATCAAATGATTGATCACATATAAAAAACAGAAAGGTATTTATAACCTGCATATTTCTTTACTTTCTCTCCAGAAATTGATGAAAAAATCTAAAAAATCAGAATTTTTTTTTACCTGTCTAAAGAATATTATATAATTATATATTTTAAGAAAGTTATAAAAAATACTTAAATGCTTAAACTAAGACAATAACTAAATAATGTCTATCATAATTATCTTGAATGCCAAACAGCAAATATCTGAGCCAAGTAAAATTTTAAAGAAGTCTTTAGTCTCAAGATATGTATGTATGTAGTTAATGCTTAATGAGGGTCCATCCGCCCTTTCGGGCACAAAATGCAGCTTGCGCTGTCGAGTACGGACCCCGGACATGTCACCAGTCATGTCCTTAAAGAGTTAATTTTGAAGCACAAAATGATGATAATTTACCTCCATGCAATTTCCACGGAGTATTAGCCAAAGATATGAATTTTGAGCCGAAAAGTAGGTCACTGTACGGCGGTCAATGAGAACCTAAATGTACAGTAACCTGTGACAATAGGAAAGGTGTTTGTAGCCCTGAAAAGGGCTGTTGGTGCCAGCTATAGGCCTGCCTTACAAGCCGTCTATCTGCACTAGGGGCTCACGCACCCTAGCACACCATCCTCGTCGTCTCAGCCTACTTTGTAGGGCCACTCCCCTCGGCATTAGTCAGGACATCGGCAGCTGGTCCGCAGAAGTGACGAAGTAGGAGTTCCGTAGTTACCGCCCACGGTTGAAGGCAAAATTTAAGTTGTCTACCAGCCAAGTTGTAAATCTTCTGCCGATGCCCTGTGCCTTCTCAGCGACGTGCACGCTCCGAGGGGAAGTGAGAAGTAGTCTCAAGATAAAGAGGGCTGCTTCTATTTATATTGTCAAATTTGATAGATTAATTATCATGCAAAATGACCTATTCCTATAAACATTTTGTCCCCTAAAGCCACCTTTTTTCAGATTGTCATGAATAGTAAATATTACAGCAAAAGTTTGTATAATATAGGTTTCTCCTATGTGTATTTCTTCTATAAAATCTCATGTAGAATTGTAGAAATATTATCAAACTTACAGGCATTCTAAAGTAGGACTGGAATTTCCTGAGAGCCATATCAACCTGGAGTCCTGACAGATCTATCTCCTCAGAGAAGTAACTGAAATATACAGAAAAACAACACCCATCATATAATTGGCATACAATTCTATTTTTAGAATAAATCAATTTCAAATATATTTTACTGGGCATTTATGATGATTTTTTGTGACCATTAAAATGTTAGAATATGAAGATGCAATTTTAGAATGATTGTTTTGCAAGTACATCCTGACTTGATGTTGAGCAATGCAAGTCTCAAACATTCGACTTGACAGTCAATCCATAGGCAGTAATAGTTAATTCTTGGCTATGGTAGCCTGATGCACAAACCTAATTTCCCCTCCCCAATCCAACTTCTGCTTGTTACCCCTCGTATTATAGATTCATATATAGGAATCATTCATGTAAAAGGACACATGATGTTAAAAGGATGATGGACACATATTCATTCAGCCTATAAAGCAAAAGAATACAACTGATCAGCATCTACCTCAAAATACATTTTATGCCAATCTAAAAATAGTAACGAACAGAACTTGCAACCAATTGTTTGTAATCGTTAATTACCCATTCGTCATAATTACCTAGTTAAATGGTTACAAATTCTCTAAAATTTGTCTTCATAAAACTGTTATTAACTTTCATCCCCAAAAAAATATTTTTCTTGGCAAAAGAGACGTGTCTCTTTTGAGTAATGAATATCTATAATATCTTTCTAAGAGGAACCAAGATTTTTCTCCGGAAAATAAGAGCGTTCCAAAATCAATAGAGAACGTTGGTAAGATGGATGACTCATCAGTTGCAGACAAAACTGTTTTTACGAGAATCTCTGCTCAAATTATGTCCTTGTCAAAGAGACTGATTCTGCCAACACTATACATTTAATATGATAGTATTGTATTTCACCTTTTATGAGCAGCATTTAGTGTAGTGGGCGGGACTGGACAAATGGGATTGTCAGTTTCTGCTGTTTATTCTTATTTTCATATAATACTGCTGAAAACTAGCTGTTCAACTGTTTCGTCACACTGCTAAAAACCTGTCCAATTGTTTGATATTTTTTAAATTTTCATAAACTATGCTGAAAGTCTGTCGAAGGCATAATACAAATTGCCAATGATATGGGGCATTATTTTTCCTGAAGCTTTATCACAGACTCTTATGTTTTTATAAGAAATTACATGTACACTGAATTCAGATACATTAATGTGACTCTGATAATGATATTTATATTTGCTTGTAATAAAAAAACCCCAAAAAACCCCAAATAAACATCTTTCATGTGAAGGAAAAAGGAAAAAAATATGTTGGAAATATTCAAATTATTCTTTTGAAGTGCGTCATATTTTTCCATATTTTGGCATTTATGATCTCCCACCCCCACATCATTATATTAATTATATCTGATAGAGAGCTAATCTCCCTCCACTTTCATCCTGGCAATTTGCAGGTAGAATAAGTACTATTCCAACCTCCATCAAAGGCTCTTCAAAATTGAAGGTAAGAACAATAACAGTACCATTCTAACCTCCATCAAAGAGCTCTTCAATTTCAGAGATGTTACATTCTGTACACCTTGTTAACTATTTTTAAGGTCATTAATATAATTCCACAATATTACCAGTAGGATAATGGTTTAAGATGAGAACATGCTCTTTACAGATTCTCACGCTGAAGCCTAAGCTTGCTTTATTGATCTTGAAGATGTGTTTGACTAGTTAACAGAGTTATCTCACATAAATGCACCTGCAGAATGTTTCAGTAATGGACTTCAACAGCTTTACAAAGTGAGCTAGAAAGGTGGGAGGGCATAACAAACAATTACTGTTATTACAAAACTGCACTACAGACTACATTACCTTGAACCAGGTACTGCTAGAACTAAGTGCAAAACACAATAAACATTATCCAGGATAAGACAATGATGTCATTCTAAATGATGGCTTCGTCTGTCAGTCAATGAAAACTCTCCTTTTCATATAACTGTGAAAGCAAAGACTTTAAAAACCTCACAATCATCATCATTCCAAGATCATCAAATCATCTAATGTCCTATACTGTATTTGAAAAACATTAAAAAAATCTGACCGTTAAACAATATTGGTGCTTTGATTGTTTACCAGCTTCCAAGACATGCTCTAACCAGAATGTATTCTCAACATGACAAAACCTTATCAAGTACACCAAAAAAACAGAACAGTTCTAAGTCAAAAACAACTTCTGTTACAATCAAGTAGCACACCTTGCATTATGACTCTTCTAAATAAGTTACGACATCAATCAAGTTAATAAATGTCTGCCTTGTTAATTATACAAATAATATCATTAATACTCTTGAAGTGAAAGTCACTTATCACAAATAGTGACTGAAATAACCCATGCTGAGAACGAATTCTGGAAATGCTTAGTAAAATTACAATCAAGAACATTGGATAAAAACATCAAAAGAATCAAGCAGAACCCTGGTGACAGTCTTAAATGTTTCATAACTGCACCAAATCACTTCGAAAGCCTTAAAAAAACATGTTTATTACATGTGGATAGCTCTGGAAAGATAATCCAAAGGTAAGAGAACTACAAATAGAAGGCCCTGAAACCTAGGGGGAAGGTAAACTATTAGATAGGGTGATTAATAATAAACACACACAGGGGTTACAACTTCAAAGGCAGGCAACATCAAAGAATGAAAGTAAAATCAGCAGGGCTAAATTGTTTGTTGATGATTTCTTACAAGGTACAGGTGGATAATTAGGTGATCAGGTAAAGGTCAAATGAGACATGGCTGCTGAAATGTAGTGACCACATACTGATTCTCTAATAGCTAAATGAGATAGTAAATATTTATCTCATTGCACCTGGAGATAGTCAGCTTGTTTGAAATCCTGTACAGTATACATATTTAGCCTGAGTGCCTTTCTAATTTTAAATTCTATTTTCAGAGTTAACAGAACAAACAATATCAAACTAGAACTATCACTAAATGTGATTAATACCCCCACAAGACTGCTTCGGAAATGAGGATGTTACTAGTAACAGAATATCTTGTAAAAGAATTGAAATATAGAGTTATGGTTGTGGGCAATTAAAGATAGTTGTGGTTCTTGAATATTGCATTTCCTTTCAATGTGGTTGGCCATTGATGAAGTTTTATTGAATTACTCTGTAATAAGTCCAGAAAGACAAAGAAAAGGAACAAAGGGCAATAACTCTATAAATACTGAAGATGGAGTTATAGTTCTTGTGCACTGCACTTCCTCTTTTTGTGCTTGACCATTGTATGAAGTTGTTTTGAATTTCAACCAGTACTTTAAAGTAATGCTCCAGACAAGGAAAAGTATCATAGGGCAGTAACTCTGTATTTTGTCAAAATGGAGTTATGGCTCTTATGCACTGCACTTCCTTTTAATGTCCTTGACAACTGTATGAAGTTGTATTGAATTCCAAACAGTAGTTTTCAAGTTATGCTCTGGACAAGGAAATGTAACAAAGGGCAATAACTCTGTAATTTGTCAAGATGGAGTTGTGGTTCTTGTGCACTGCACTTCCTCTCAATGTGCTTGACCATTGTATGAAGTTATAATGAATTCCAACAATTAGTCTTCAAGTTATACTCCGGACAAAAGAAAGCAATGGAAAAGTAACAAAGGGCAATAACTCTGTTATTACTTTAGATAGAGTTATGGTTCTTATGCACCGCACTTCCCCTTATTGTGTTTGACAAATGTATGAAGTTGTTTTGAATTCCAACCAGTAATTTTCAAGTTATGCCCCGGACAAGGAAAAGTAACAAAGGGCAGTAACTCTGTAATTAGTCAAGATAGAGTTATGGTTCTTGTGCACTGCACTTCCTCTCAATGTGCTTGACCATTGTATGTAGTTATATTGAATTCCAACCATTAGTCTTCAAGTTATGGTCCGGACAAAAGAAAGCAATGGAAAAGTAACAAAGGGCAATAACTCTGTAATTACTTTAGATAGAGTTATGGTTCTTGTGCACCGCACTTCCCCTTATTGTGTTTGACAATTGTATGAAGTTGTTTTGAATTCCAACCAGTAGTTTTCAAGTTATGCCCCGGACAAGGAAAAGTAACAAAGGGCAGTAACTCTGTAATTAGTCAAGATAGAGTTATGGTTCTTGTGCACTGCACTTCCTCTCAATGTGCTTGACCATTGTATGTAGTTATATTGAATTCCAACCATTAGTCTTCAAGTTATGGTCCGGACAAAAGAAAGCAATGGAAAAGTAACAAAGGGCAATAACTCTGTAATTACTTTAGATAGAGTTATGGTTCTTGTGCACTGCACTTCCCCTTATTGTGTTTGACAATTGTATGAAGTTGTTTTAAATTCCAACCAGTAGTTTTCAAGTTATGCCCCGGACAAGGAAAAGTAACAAAGGGCAATAACTCTGTAATTAGTCAAGATAGAGTTATGGTTCTTGTGCACTGCACTTCCTCTCAATGTGCTTGACCATTGTATGTAGTTATATTGAATTCTAACCATTAGTCTTCAAGTTATGGTCCGGACAAGGAAAATGCAACGGACGTCTGGACCGACCGACCGACCGACCGACCGACCGCCCGACCGACCGACCAACCGACCACCGGGTGACTCCTATATACCCCCCCAAACTTCGTTTTTGGGGGTATAAAAAGGATAAAACTTATTTTTAGAACTGTCTTTTTTCCCCCATATCTTATCAATTTATATATTACATGGCTGTAGTAAGTAAAAAACATTCTATTTATAGAAATATTATGAATAAGTGTTTTTAAAGAAAAATACATCAAAAACCTCAAAGCATTGCAATAAGTATTTTGATGAATGATGTGTCATATATCATGCAAGTTTCATCGCATATAGTGCATGTATAAAAACTCAGAAACTAAGAAAAACCAAAAAGAAACAAATCTCAAGTGTTTCTATGACATTTGATGATGAATCAGTTAAAGTACATGTATAATAATCAACTATTCATTGTTTATAAACATAACATAATGTATGAAAACATAACTCCACATAATAATTATAAACAGTTAACGCCTACACCCACTCCATTTTTAAATATCATTTTAAATTCTGATTTCACAAGGGAAAATCATTTTCTGAACAGAAGAATTGTTCATAACAGCCGTTTCAAATTTTAACATGTGCAACATTTAGAGTGATTTTAACAATATGAATTGTTGTCTTATTATATGGTAAAAACAAAACTACACCAAAAGTGAATAGCCTTAAATTATCACCAGTATAGCATAGGTCAGCCTGAACAGGCTCTATACTGAGGCTGCAATGCATGATAATTAAACATTTATTTTAATCTTGATATCCCTAGAATTGATAATGGACAGTTCAAAAACTGGAAGCTGGAGAAGTCCATTTCAGAAATTCAGTAAAATAAGGGGTGAAGTCAATATTCTGTGAGATACATAACCAAAGCACCATCACAGCATGGTACAATATCGAGGCAGCAGAGAAAACATTAGCACCATCACTGGAAACAGTGGTCAGACAAATGGAATTTTGATTGAGCATCAATTGTTTCCAATAATTGATTTGTTTGCTCTCCCACTGTCTGACTCATTACACGCCCAGCACTCCTGTCCAGTATCGAGATATTATTTCTCCCCCCACACACCCCCCAACCTCCCTTGGTCAAAATAAATTGAGAGTAATTGTGATGAATGCTAGCAGACTGTCCAAAGTGGCACCATACTGGTTATTAACACTTCACAGTTCTGGTCGCAGTCATGACTTGATTAATTTAGTTTGAACAGCAAGCAATGAGGCTGGATATTGTCCAGATATGTTGGTTGGAGCAGGTTCAATGAAAAATACATGACCGTATATTTCTATCTAAGGGAAAAGCAGTAATGAAATACATGTTATTTAAATGGACTTGTCCATCTTTCACTCTGGACAAAACCATTCATCATTTTATGGAAATTTTCTAAATAACTACTGACTAATAATAACCACCTTAGGCTCAAATGCTTGCATGGGTAAAATCTGTTGCTGCCAGTAGATTAATAGTTAGTTATCCTATTGAAATGTATCAAAAAGGCCAAGGAATTACTGGGAATTACTGGAAAATACACACATGTTTTTTTGAAAGCAAAAACATATTCCCCAGCAAAAGAGTTATCCTTTGATCAATCGGACATCAGACAGACCAAACTTCTTGGAGAGTGTTCTAACTGACCTAAATCAAAGGCCTGAAGATAATTGCACAAATTTACATGTGTTTGATCAGTATAAATAGCAAGAAATCTATTAATTGGATGGGCCTTGTAGAATTCTTTCAGAACAAAGAGTTGTTAAATCTCCACTTGTAAAATAAAACATCAAGTATAAAAACTTGAACTGAACCATGTCAAAGGAGTAAAAATCTGCTGTCCAATAAACTCAATGATCAAAATAAAAACCCAAATGTCATTAAAGATGGCAAAAGAATGCTGAAAGCTTTTATCATGTATCAAATGGGACAAAAGAAATGTTTGTAACGGCAAGTGTGTGCTTGAAAACAGTTCCAGGTCATAAAGAACACTTGCATTTAGAAGTTAGTAGTATAAAGAAATAACATATCATGTGAGTGAAAAATACTTATGTGTAAACAATTAGGACCACCCATTCTATTGAACTCGTCTTGGTATCATGACAGAGTATGGAAACAGTCCAACCTCTTGCATCTCTATTGACATTCACTTAGTCTTTTGTTTACAGCTGGTTAAGGTTTAATTTGAGGAAAGAGAATTGAACTTTTTTGCAGGAGAAGCTTTATAAAAATTTAACCGGAGTAACCACTGAACAGGGGCTTCAAATACGAACAAAGCTCAGATAAACTTTTCAAAACCATTGCTTACTAGTATATAGCTCTTGATAACCTAATCTAAGCTTATTACAATTTATCCAAGATATTTATTGTTAGCACTACTGTTTTTGTCATTTGGCATCTTTTCCCTGCCTTACAAATATACTGTTATTTCAGACATCAATGTATACCCCTGCGGACCTATAGTGGGAGTGTCTCCTTGTAACCTATGTCTGAGATACATTGATTTCACTTTAAAAATAAATGTGACATTCAAGAAAATATATACATGCCTGTCTGTTACATTTAATATTTCTTATTTGAAATCTTATTTGAATACAGTAAGAAATTATTTAGTATAATGTTAAGTTGTTCAGACTTAATAATTATTATGATATATTAAATTGCATGACCTTTTCTTGGAATTTATTAGGAGATAAAATATGACTGTTATAATGAATTCATTTATTAAGTGGATATCATCTGCCACTTTGAACCCCTCCCAACTGCTTCCTTATGCCATCGAAACCCTGTATTATGTTTTCCTTACATGAGATTTTGATATATATCATAATATTAAGATAACAGATTATATTAAACAACCGGAAGTATATAGTCCGGTGAAACATTGCCGGCACTGCTTATATTATACTGATTATACGAGTATAAGCGGGCATTTCTGCCCTTACATAGATTATCACTTTACAATCTCATGACATTTAAAGCATTGCTATAATGACATTTAAAGCATTGCTATAGTGACATTTAAAAGACAATATCTTTAAAAAAAAACATGTTCGATGACATTTAAAAACACATTTTTTCCATGACGAGGATTCTTTAATAACAGGAATATCCTTATAAAGTTCCAAAAGTTTCTACAAGAAACCTATAGATATATTAAAAATTTATTTTCCATTAGTGCGAAATTGATGTAAACTTTGCATGTCAATGTAAATCATGAGATTTTACGCCAACCTGCAAATATATATTCATAGAAAGTTGAAAATAGCTGGCACTTTCTCATTATAACAGGCTTAAAATTCCCAGAATCCAGACAGCCATTTGTCCCCAATGACATTTGGAAGGATGGGCAGGGGAATCACTTATATAAAAGTAATAAATCTTGATAAAAAAAATTCCTAGACATACGTGTCATTACCCCAATTATTTCAAAGACAAACTGGCAATTTCTGCAAGACAAATAGTCTTATGCATGCTTTTTTCCCCCCTCTCTGCATGCCATAAATAAATATTACAAAATCTTTAGGTCAAACACCACTAACGTCTGAGCGTCACAAAACAAACTGCCACAAAAAAAAAAAACTCGCCTCTTTTACAATACCAGTCTGATTTATAAATGGGAGTCCATTGTTCACAGCAATGTTTAGAAAAATGGATTGGAATATAACTATATACAAAGTTCAGACAGAATCGATAACAAGCATCTTAAAATAGCAGTGCATGCCACCTTTATTTAAATAGGTGACGTATTTACCCCCCCCCCCCCACTCCTGTCAAGTTATCTCTACAAAACAATTGCTCCTAAAGGTATTGATATTTCCTTAAGACATTCTTATAAACATGAATAAACTTAATAGGTTTAATAATGTATTCACATGTTTATAGTACATGTACATATAAACAAAAGTAAACTTACTTTTTTTGGTCTTACACAATTCCTTAATACTTACTTGAAATTTATTTTTTTCAGCAAATTTTAATTCTGTTGTATCTACTATGCTTTTACTGGAAATTATTTCACCAAATGGAAAACCTGAATTAAATACGATTTCACTGACAGTTTTCCACCATGACAAAAGATACAAGATCTATTTTGATGGGTATTAGAATAAGTTCTCAAATCTGCAGATTTTGTTTCAAAGAAAATGCTCAAACCTGGTACGGTCTTTTAGAGAGTTTTTGGGGAGGTTATAATAAAACACTCAAGGCCGGCCAAAGCGCTCTATATTGGTACATGTTAAATTTAAATTTGAATATCAAAATTCCCAAATAACAATGTTCAGTTTTATTTTCAAAGCAGGACAAGTTCATTTTAAATTCAGCCAGGAAAAATTTTGTAATTAGGACCATTTAATAACTATGCCTCCAGAAATACACGGTAATTTAAATATATATCCAAGACTTACCATAATACATCCATGTTGAATGGGTTCTGCAGGTTTCCAAGGTATTCTCCAATCATCTGCTTACTGAGGCCTTTCCGGGTGATCAGGAATCGTGCCACTGTCTCCGGTGACTCATTGATAAAACCATGCTCACACAGAAAACTGAGGCCCTTTTCTGGCTTTCTGTTTGAAAAAAAAAAGAAATTTACATTTTATTTATAAAGTGTTGTTTTTTTTTGTATAATATCAAGTACCACTATTCTTAAGGGGGGGATATCTTATCTAATTTTAAAGTGAACTAAAACAAAGCATTCATACACATAAACTTCTTTGTTGTCTTCTAAAAGTACAAGTTAGCCAAGTGCAAATATTTTTTACGAAAAATGACATTATTAGCAATACAATTATCTTTATCAAAACTCTTTTCCTTTATATAATGATAATGACATACCATCATGATTTATAATAAGTGTCGTCTGACCACATTACATCAACTTAATTGTAAAATTAATTTTAGGAAAATTTGACTGTTTGATTACACTTCGTGTCAGTTTGTAAGTGTCATATACAAACGCTTTTTCAAATGTTAAAAGAACTATTATTATCACCCACATGATGTTTATCATACATAATCTCCATAGGTTTTGAAGACTGTAACTATTTGAAAATATTATACTCCTGGCCAAATTTAGCAGTATATTACCCTATTATATTGATTCTTACAAGGAGTTATTCTTACAACACACAAAATGAGATAATTAACAGAGCTATGGTGTCTAAGGGGTGACTTATTTCTTCTTCCTTGCGGCACAATGAATATGATGAGAGGAAACGGGATGAAGTGGGCACTCGTACAGAAGAATCATTGTTACAAGTATGTTAACGGCTGTATCCTGTTATATTGATTATTATCAAGCACTATTGTTGGCATGCACTTGTTCGATACATTAAAAACTCTTGTTTTACATTATGATAAAACATCTTTGCTTATAACAATTGAACTAATACTTTGATCTAATCCAATGAGCTCGTCAATCTATTTAAACGGAAACAAAAACAATGAGTCATAAAAAGCCAGCAGGCACTTCAGGCAGATTTCGAAGAAATTTCTATTTTGTAATTTTTATAGCTTTCGAACAAAACAAATCTGTTTCTAGTTTTAAAAGAATAAATTTTAACATGAATTGGGAAAATTTTCAGCAACAAAAATATAAAGTGGAAATTTTCTCATAGATATTGAAGGTATTGCAACTTCAAAACAGCATGTCATAGAACCAAACTTTGCAATAAATTAGGTAGCCATTTTGACCTCTTTTAAAAATTTCAAGCCTTAATTATTCCTGATTTTACTAAGGTTGACTGAAATAAGGCTCCAAACATTTTAACTGGTTCATTATATTCTAAGCATTTACGAGTTTTCACAGCACCTTTGTATGGTGAAAAGGAACTGTGTCAAGTGGCTGGTATACAAAATGATAGACTCAGTGTCATAGTGACTATTGAATCACTTCATTACGGCACCATAAACCCTCCTTTAACTCACTATTCGTACCAATTGGTGATGAATCTGTAGAAAAAAATTTAGTAGCTACTCTTTGATGTATAGTCAAACCTGTGAATACAGACCATCCAACAGAGAGACCATTTATGACATTTATAGACAAGTGGTCTTTATGCAGAGTTTAATTTAGTTTTAACAATGAAGGTTTGTAAAGAGTGGTTTTTATTAAAAGGGTGATCTTTATTTGGGGGTGGTCTTTAAAACAGGTTTGACAGCATTTGCCATTTTAAGAAGGAATAACTATAACTTGTTGGAGAATGATGAAAACTTGAACTTGTAAACCAGTCTCTTTTAAACTTCTGCATCTGATTGGATGGTTTATAGAAAACAAGTATGAACTGACCAATGGGAAAGATGCAATCAGAGACTGGTTTACAACCCCTGTAGAAACTGTTCCAAAAATGAAAATACAAAATGCACTACATCAATATCATAAGACATCATTTTTTACAGGATAGATTCATGCCACTGCAAAACAATCTGCACAGCAGATGAATTGGCACCAGTTATACTTCCTACAGAAAAGAAGCTTAGAATTTTGGTCCCGTCTGCCAAAGTTATTAAATAACGAAAAATTATTTAATGTTTTCTAATTACAACATTTATTATGACAAGAAATCATCAAAGAATATTTTATATTCTTTATATCAAAGGGGATTTCCTGGGAGTTAATCTAGACATAGAGTCCAATGTACGTTCATCATCCTTGCAAAACAGAAATAGAAACCTAGGAAGTAAACAGCGGTTTTTAATTGGAAAACATGGCAGTCATTATAATTCTCAATGAAATGATGCTTTCATAAGAATGTTTGATAATCCTAAAGGGGTTATATCTAAATTAAACAAGATCCAACATTTCCAATTTTTTAATTTCAGTCGTATGCATTCATTTAATGAGACAAGTTGTTTTTGAAATTGTACAGATATAATTATGAGGAGGCTATGCAGATGGCTTTTGATAGCATTGGATTTATAATCCAGGGCTCCTTCAGGTTCGATCCTCAGGCAAGGGGTTGGATTTGTAATCCAGGGCTCCTTGGTCCCATCCTCAGGCGAGGGGAAAGTTTTCAGAGACAATGATCTCAGACATTGCATCTAATGGTCATTTGTCTCTCATAGCTGACTGGTAATTATTTGGGGTTAGAAACCGGTAATTACTGGTTAGTGATCCAGGAAAGCGGGTTACATTATAGATGAACCAACAGCCAAGATCTAAAATTTGGCACAACTAATTCGCAAACGAATGACTAATTCTGCCCTTCTTACACTAATCTAACATTTTCATGCACAATATTTTCATTACAGGAAAAGCATTAAAACAGAATTATAGAAAGTTCTGTTATGATCTAATAAAGTTTGCTTTTTTCTGAATGTCTAAAGGTGTACTAACCAGGTGTTGAAAGGGGATTTTCACATGAAGTGAAACAGTCGGTAGCCAGGTAATGCTTCAGGTATCGTTACTGAGCACATTTTTACCATTATCTAGCATTAAATGCATTTACAAAAAAATAATAATGTAAAAGTTCCTGAAAATTATGAAGCCATGGAATATAGGGGGAAGTCTGTCTTCATGGCTCCGTGAATTAACAGACTATAGGTACAGCACTGTTATTAGATTATAAGGAAAATTATGAAACAATGAGTTAATGACGTACCTGAATGGCTTGTACCCAGATAATCTTGTTTGGTATTCTGGTTTTCATATTTAAGGACTGTTTTTCACAGTTGTAATACTGTGAATCAGTCTAACATTTCAACAAAAATAATCTGAGAAACTAAATTAAGAAAATTCTGCATAAAAATTCAGTTTTTATAATTCTCAAAGAACAATACTTACTTGTTGAATAAATTTAATCCAATTCTGTACACTCGTTTGCGTTGTTTGTCCGCTGTTTTTGGTCCAGCATGCGGATGGTCAGGTGTCACACTTAAACGCAAGCGTCTCTGATAACTTAAACTATCGCCACCTATACTAATATTTTCTGCACTAACGTTTTCTGAACTTGGTGAACTAGAATACTGGTGTTCACTGTCAGGTTCACTGGTTTCTGATATATTACTCATGCGTTTAACGTCTAATTTTCCTACAGAACCGGTTGAACCATTCAAATTACCGTTTTTACGCTTCCAAATCGGAGAAGCCTCCGGTGCTCGACTAGGAACTGGTGGTCGTTTATTAGCGTCATTTATGCTCTGAGCTTGACCGGAGTCTTTCCGTGATCTATATTTCACTTCTGAGCTATTCATTAAATATTTTACAGTTTGTTCTTGCATATGTTTTTGTTCCCTCGATCGGGTACGATCTGGGGACACATCTTTATTCATGTCTGTTTGGCTACTAGTTATTGAAGCACTATCACTAGATTCTGATACATTTCTAAAATTTTCATATGATGAATTAATACTACGGTTACTGCCTAGTGTATCTGCACTTATATTGCTGGATGCCAGGGACGTCCCTGACGCTTTGTGCATTCCTAATATAGTAGCATTAATATCTTGACTAGCATCACTTTGAAAACTGTCTGTTAAAATATCCGTTTCTTTACTTTCAACAAGAGTTTCAAAGTCTAAACTATGAATATCTACCGCACTTTCGTACGGCGTCACTTGAGGTGAGTCACTGGCACTACTGTCATTCATTTCTGGACATGAATTTCTGTTGTTATTTTCCTCTGTTTTACGTCTGCCATCTTTCATCTGGTGCCCATTGTCAGTCAAATCAACCTCGCGACATCTCTCCAACTTGCGATCACGTCTTGACGTGCGCAATTTTTGCATATCGAATTTATTATAACCTTGATCAAAACTCATTTGTTGTTTTACGCGATGGGGATCAGCTTCGGTAAATCTTTTTCTGGAATCGTTTCCGTACAAGTCAGTATGGTGTTTGTTTGTCAAATCCCCATTCTCGATCACAGTTGCGCCCATTGTGAATTGAGCATCTGTAGCAATTCTGTCAGACCACACTGTGTTACTTCTTCCTAATTTTGATAATCTTCGCTCTGCGACGGAATTTCTTAACTTTTGGAAATTTTTATTCATGCAATATTGCCTATAGGCACGTTGTATAGTTTTAGCGGCACGGCGGGATTTTACTGAGCCTCCGTATCGCCTCTCTAGCATCTCAACTTGTTTATCTTGTAAATCCTGTGATAATTCATAATTCACAGATTGTGCTCGTGATCGTTTAATCAATTCATCTTCTGTACGTCGTAGTGATCTTTGACGTCGTACACTTGAATTGCCGACTGAATGCTGCGACGTGACTTTCACTGGACGAGTGGAAGAATCCTTAGCAGCGGCTCCTCCTACTGACCGAGATCTAGCTTTCTGTCGCAACAGTTCCTCGCTAGCACGTGCACTTGTAACACTGGAAATATATAAAAATTCATATAAATACTCGTTCAACTTTCTTATGCTCTCCTAATTTATATTCAAGTAAAAATTATACACTTTTTGTTATGTAATATAAACTCAAACTTGCTCAATATCAGTTACGTTGTACCAGGAATGTGTCACACAAATTTTGAGCACTTTGATAAAAATTCCGGTGATACAGGATGCTTGTCATAAGTTCGCCATGCGCACTTGAACTTCATCTAGCCATCTGAGGCAAGGTTACCATAGCAAAATAGGAAGAGAAATAGCTAAACAGGATAGGAAAGAAGGAAATAAGGCATTAACATTCTACTGGAAAACAATCGCTGTCAACAATGAAACACTTGTTAATATAAACCACTTGCAGTCCCACTCAAAACGCCATGATATATCATCCTTGTAAACTACTTCGAGAAAGCAACAATAACAGATCATTAGCTGCTGAAAAAAATCATCATCATCATGTTTCCCCAACAATATTTTTACAAAGAAAATCAATAAAGCATAAAACATTTCATTTAACCAGATTGTACAAGCCATGAAAAACAATAGACTAATGATATGATATGCGCAATACACAAAACATAAAAGCTATCAAAAAAGAACCATTACGTCAAAAACTGAAATTGTATCTCAGGAAATTAATAAAGACAAACCTAAAAATTTCCCGTCTGCATCCATTTTCACCAAGGACACAGATAGATATATCCCCACTTATTTTTATTTGCAATCCAGCGTTTTTCGGACACAAAGCTAAGTTAACACTCGCATTACTGTTACTATTACGACTTATATTATCACATAAAGCTACAGTTCTATTACTTGAACTACTTGACCAATCACTTTCACTCTCTATACGATAATCACTCTCGTCATAATCATCAAAGTGCCACGGTTTCTTAGCTCGCCGACGTCTTGGACGCATATTTCAAATTCCAACTCAAATTCTCGAAACTCTTCAAACTCCCTAACACGTTCTGCTTATTTTAGTAGCCCATTGGAACATTTCACGATTTGTTTTTTCTTAATAAACTGTTAAAAATCCATAATAATTTTTTTTCGAAATAAAATCATAGAAATTCCAGTAAATGCTTAATAATTCTTAATAACAAGAACAAGTCAAGAAAAAATATAATTATTCTTTAAAAAAAATCGAAAGGTAACACAATTTGGCGATGAAGTTATCACTTTATAATCTCATAATCGAAAACATGACTTGGTCCACCGGAAAACACAAAACATGTGAGCAAGGTGCTCATTAAAGACTACCCTGGTTTCATCGAGCATTTCAGGGCGCGTACAGGTTCTTGTCTGTCGAATAATTGCTCTGTTGCATTCCCTTCTCAACAGGATATAAGAAGAACAGAGTAATTTTTAATTAAAACTAAGCTCTAAATCTGAGCATCTTTCGCAAAACATTAACCATATGTGAACATTATGAGGTATCATAAACCCCATACCTCTTTCTAATGATTCTACGACATATAGACTAAAAGGAAAAATAGATTTTATGTTAATTATTAACATGATGAAACGAGATCAAAGAAAAAGGAATCCACGTTTTGTACCTATGCCTAATTGTTAAATATACATAATTTGACTCGGCAAACATTTGCCTCCGATTTTCTTAATTCTGTCACCCTGGGAGACTTGCAATGATGCGCTCTTTAGAACATATTGGATTATAAAAATATGGGACTCACGCACGCTGTGCACGTGGCTCTCACACGCTGGGAGGTGCTTTTAACAATACCAGAAATTTATTCACTTTCTGTCATAAATTTTTTTTAATGACCTGCTTCAAGCACGAGTTGATAAATACAAGGGTGACCGTAATAAACAGTCAAGGTAATATTTCAGCAATTGCCCCAAAATGTATCACTTTTTTAACATTAATTTTTCCAAACCTTTGTATTTTACATAAAAAAGAAAAATCAAACATAAATTAGCTCCTTAATAAAAAAAAGTTTAATTTAATTTCTGTTCAAACTTTTTTTTATAATTTTCTTATTTTTATCGTATTATATATTAACATGAAAACCCCCTTTCACCATCTAAAATCTGTTATCCCCTAAATAATAAATCCTCTTGTGATAATAATTCCAGTGTTATCTTTTCACCCTTAAACCCCTACTGGAGATCTGACCAACAACTTCCTTGACTGATAATAACCCTTATTCTAACTGACAGCAATGTCTTAGACTATTCTGTCTAAAACTGACCAATCTAAGACTGACCTCAGCTATCTAAAACTGACCTCAGCTAACAGCTCCACAACATTCCGGACAAGTCAAACTGACCTGTCCCAAAGCTATCGCACCATTCCATTTAACATCTCATCAAGTACAGCAAATTGGAAGCTGGTGTTTTTTCTAAATTACCTGTTAATAGGGAGATCCCACACAGAACAAAAGATACTGGCAGAAAGCAAACTACCATAATTCACTCTTCTTTCATCTTAACATCTGGTGCTTATGATGGGAAAACAACAATATAATATATTATCTATAAAAATGATAAGAGCCCTGCAACGATATCAGGAATTTCTGCTTCTGTCACTTGATCCTTGACACTTAGTTTAGACATACTTGAAATTGGAAAGAAAAATCCACTTCTGTGCAGTTTTGAATTAATTATGACAGACATAAAGCTTTGTTTAAATCATCCAAGGGGAATAACTTTAACTTACAAAATAGCAATCCAATGTAAAGCAATACACAATGCCTGATAGAAAAAAAAAATATTGCAGAAATAAATAACAAAGCTATTACCTGTTAATTCTGTAAATGACAAAAACAAAACAAATGAATGCAATAAAAATCCAAATAACTTATTATATAACAAATTTTAGAATCTATTAAATGTTTAATGACAACAGTATATTACAATACTGGGCACAAGTCTGACACACAAATTTAAATAAATGCTCACTGACCCAGAAACTGACTAAAGAATTACAATATTTGTACAGAAAAAAAAACAACAAAATTTTAAGATTCGCTTTTAGAAAATGATGTATCATTAGCTATTTGTGTCCGAGACTTAATACGATTTTGTATCAAATGGTTTACAGCTGTGCAAAACAGATTGGAAGGAAAGCTGTTAAATCAATTACAGATTGTTGGAAGACAAAAAAGACACCAAAAAATACAGAAAGATACCAACATTTTAATCATTGTTATCATGAACCGTAACCAACGTAATCAGTTATGATGTCAATTTCACAAGTCCAAAGCCAACAATAATCAAAACATCTGGGGGAGGCTAATATCCATCATAGAAAAGAAAACTGAATTCAAAGCTATACACTATGATGTTCAAATAAAAAACAATATTTGGATTGAGCAGACTTTGTGACCAAAGTCTTTCTACCATCAACAATTTCTATAAACAACAAAGACATTCCCTCCATTTTCGTGAACTTATGCCAGCAATAAAAACAAAACTTTATGTCCCTACAATTCTCCGAAGAATTCATTTAACTGTGCTTTACTTATTACATACTGTCTGCAATTATGAGGTGGTCTCTAATGCAGAATAAATTATCACATGAACCATTTTACCTTTCAAGGCTTTTAAAAAATGAAGAAAATCTGAATATGTTCTCAATCACCTAATATTTTAATCAAGCTCAGATAAAGCAAAAGTTTACTCCATATTTTACCTAAACTATAAAACAAGCACATCCCACCATGATTGCATGACAGGAAATGAAAGAAATGCAGGCACAAATTTTCTTGATCACTATCAGATACTGCATGCAGCTTGGATTTTATAATGGTGGGTGGGTGCACAATATTTTCATCCTTATCTGGCAGCTGAAGTGCTGTGGTAAGAATTGTGAGGTACAGAGCTCACAACAACAATTACAAAGTCAAGTGCAGTCGTGTGCCATTCATTAGAAAACAGATGCAGACATCATAGTGCTATATGTTTACAGTTAACTATATGCAAATTAAGGTTATAGTCACAAATTTTATTGCATTTAATTCTTTATCCTTAAATTCAGCTATACAATGTTCAATTCAACCTTTGATATTTCAAATAAACAAAATGCTCAAATATGTTAGGCAATAAATATAGTAAAAGATATGGTCAGATATTATTTTGACCCTTTGGATTGGCAATAACGAATTGCTCAATGTGTCATCAGTATAAATACAGACTCAACATCTTTACAGACCTAAGACTCCATCCAGTTTAGTAGAAATATTGATGAAAATTTTCATATCTTTATATCCTAAATCCCTTACATTGACATTGAAACATACTCATGCTCAAAACTGGACAAGTCTATGACATAATTTGTAAAAATACATCATTACAAATAAAATCTGACCGCTATTATAGTAAGTACCAGGAAGTGACTGGTACAAGACTGTAAGATATTGTCTATAACAACAAAGAGATGTTTTCTATTGGACCATATTTCTTTATTCACCAAGTCCTCTCATTTTGTTGTTTACAGAATGACCATTTAAGTCATAAACAACAAAGAATTCATTATGTACAGTCAGAAAATTGCAACAGTCCAAAGTTGAAGTGGTCATAAATACAGGATTTTAATAAAGACAAGGAAAAACAATTACTATTGTTTGAGGACAGATCAATATGCTTAGCCGGGGTCAAAAATGAATAATACATTGAAAAGGGAACAAACTCTAGACAATGACTAGAAATGTGTCATCATGCCACGGATGCCCCCGCATGCAGCCAAAATTTCAGATGTTATAATATTTAGTTCCAAATTTGTTTGCACAAATTATTTTTTTCATTTGCAGTTCAAAGCCCTTAAAACTTTTCAATGTTAACACAAACCATTTTCATACAATGTTCAAAGCACTGAAATTATTCAGTCTTAACCTTTTGAAAATAGCATATTTCATATTTGTAGCCAAAATAATGGCTACATACATTTCCACAAAAGTATGAGTGCTGAAACTGAAAGTTCAAAATTTTTCCAACATTCAAGAAAGATAAGTTTGTCCAAAATCATTGAACCACGACCAAATTCAAACTTTCCACAAAAGTATGAGTGCTGAAACTGAAAGTTCAAAATTTTTCCAACATTCAAGAAAGATAAATTTGTCCAAAATCATTGAACCATGACCAAATTCAAACTTAAACTGCTTATTCCTAAGATGTATCTATATTATTTTCAAAGTGAAAGGGACATAACTCTGCCAAAAAATCATCGAACCATGACCAAATTCCAACTTGACCTGCCCATTCCTTTGACATATCCATATGTCAAATTTGAGTTGAATATGTAACACTGTTGGGTAGATAATGAACAGAAACTGTAAATTTCATATTATTTTCAAAGTAAAAGGGGCATTACTCTGCCAAAAATCATTGAACCATGACCAAATTCTAACTTGGCCTGGGCATTCCAAAAACATGGAATGTCTAATTTGAGTTGAATGTGTTGTACTGTTGGGGAGATAATAAACAGAAACTGAAAATTTCATATTATTTTCAAAGTGAAAGGGGCATAACTCTGCCAAAAATCATTGAACCACAACCAAATTTGAACTTGACCTGCGCATTCCTTTGATGTATCCATATGTCAAGTTTGAGTTGAATGTGTTGTACCGTTGGGGAGATAATGAATGGAAACTGAAAATTTCATATTATTTTCAAAGTGAAAGGGGCATAACTCTGCCAAAAATCATCGAACCATGACCAAATTCGAACTTGACCTGTATTTTCTCAAGACATATCCATATGTCAAATTTGAGTTGAATGTGTTGTACCTTTGGGGAGATAATGAACGGAAACTGAAAATTTCATATTATTTTAAAGTAAAAGGGGCATAACTCTGCCAAAAATCATCGAACCATGACCAAATTCGAACTTGACCTGTATTTTCTCATGACATATCCATATGTCAAATTTGAGTTGAATGTGTGCAACCGTTACTAAGATAATGAACGGAAACTGATGATGACGGAATGACAGAATGACGGAAGGACGGAATGACGGAATGACGGAAGGACGGAACAGGGTAACACTATATGACCCGGCCATTACATGGCGGGGGCATAAAAATGTCAATGTCATATATAATAGTAAAAGAAGTGGGTGGGATGAAGGCGTACAGGAAACCCAGGGAAATGGCCAAAAGGAACCCCTAAATTGTTTAATCGGTAAAACAACAGAATGAAATCTATAGAAGTTGAGGCGGATCAAGCAATGTAACATCTTACATTTATATAAATCTATCAGGGGGGATAACTCTCATCACCGCCAAATGCTGTGAAAATTATCAATCCAAACCAATGGGAAAGATCTGGAGTGACAAGTATGGATAAACAAAGAAAGAAAAACCTTTCTGGAACATCTGGAAGTCTCCATGCTGACAACTGTTTTGCTATCTTAAACTGGTAGCTCCTTAACTGGATTTTCATTTTCTTACACAAAATCAATCTGTTTAATATATTGATTTATATCAACTGTTGACATATGGCTGAGAATTCTAGTCTTATATATAAAACAGTAAAATTACTACTGAACCATGCACACAGCTGACAGCTACTTCAAGCTTTTATAATGACCCTGAGATTTAATCAGTTATTAACAGTGCAGCTCTTTATAAGGGGACCTATTTCCTTGTATTTATTTTTCAACTCTGCATTAACTGTTAATTTATAACAGTCCAAGGAAATACCCCAAGATTGTCATCTAAATGGACCAAGACACACTTCCCTTGAAAACTTTTATGTTTGCTGAACAAAAAAGATCTAACCCAAAGATATGAAAATGATATTGTAATTATTCAAGTAATAATTACCTCCCTTTTATGCTCTAGGCCATGCAACAATTTTATGAACCATATAGATTTTTTCTTTGTCCAAAGGGGTTAATTTATTATCTTATTGAATCTAATAAGGCCAATAATTGCTCTTTTTTTGATAAAAGTCATTAATTATTCAAAATGTCAATAAAACGTACCATTAGGGCATTGTAGTAAATTATGGGAAAAATATGTTCTATATAGTCAGGTGATATTAGGTATACAGGAATTTAGATTATTTTCATGGCAAATCAAAATTGAAGTTTTACTAAGGTCAGATTTACAGTTTTATCAAAGAAGAGCTAACGCCCCTCAGGGCCCTCACCCCACCCCCTTTCCAATTTTTTTTACACATCACACACTGTTTTAAACAAAAACATTATTATATATCCATAAAGGTTAATATGTATTGGACATTATAAATCATAAAATAATGGTTTCACAAACAAGCATTATATAAAATGGATGCTGTTTAACACAAAAAACATCAACAAATTACACCATAAGTAGAATTCTAAGATGTTACATACATACAATGCAAAATCTATTAATCATATGTCAAAACTAGACCATCAGATGTACCTATTAATTCAATTTAAATAGTAATTTAACAATTAAAAAAAAAAAGAAGAAAAAAACATATTAATCTATTAAATTTTACCTGTGACCATGGTATATATATATATATTCCAGAGGTAAGAACTAAAAACATACCCTCTAAGACAGTGAAAACAGAAGAAATAAACAAAAAAATAGAAAGGAACAGCTTACTGCAAAATGATGTTAAAACCATATGAAGTAGGCTGTTTGCTTTTTCTTGAGCTCCAGTGAAGAAAAACGTTCAAGTATTTCCAAGTGTTTAGCCAAGATTACCCTAACACATGCTTTCCACAATCTCAAAGAAAATCTCATTAAATCTCCCTTAATTCTCTCAAAACAATGACATTCTTATGGCAAATCAAATTACAAAATCAGTACCCCCCCCCCCCACATTTTAATCTGCCATAAAATCAAACAAGAATTAGAGCAGCAGATTAGGTTTAATTCAAGATAAGATCTATACAATACCATCATGTGATCGGCAAAATGAATAACTTTTTAATTATCTTAAAGTTTGATTTCTGACTTGAACCCTTCAAGTACTGGCAATGGAGTAACAGACCTATGCAACCAGCATGGAGCCAGGCCAGCCTGCACATACCTCCAGTCTGACTTTAGTAACACTGTCGGCTGCTCAAATAGTTTTGAAGTTTTGAATCGTGATCTTGAAGTCCCTTTAAAACAACTGATGGACTGCTCCAAATTCAAAGCTGAGCATGTCCAATATATAATACGGGGGTTTTTCATCATATACATGTATATATATTACATCATCACATGATTCATATCCGTTCTACTACAACTGTCGTGTTCATTTAATGTGCAGAAAAAAATTACATTGTCCGAACCATCAGAAATATATACTTCATCTGCAAACCCTCAGACACCCAAACATTCTATGTAGACAATTACAAAATAATCAAACAAAATACCATAGATTCAAGACACAGACATAATAAAATGTCTAACCATCATAATAAGGAAAAGTCAATAATCATTATAATAATTATGCCCACCTTTTATATAAACCCGGATCAGAGCGAGTGTGTGTGGCTGAATATTTTTTTCGTGACTTTAACCCTTCGGCTGACACATTACGATTCAGGTCACTCATGTCCCTGACCTTTCTACTTCAAACTTTCAATATACAACAATATACAAAAGTTTTTTCCAATGAGACCATTGAATATCGTCAAATATTATATAATCAGGCGAAAAGAATTACGGAAATCTAACAAAGCTACAGAATATCTCTTTCCTTCTCAGATTTTCTCTCTCGTATCATTGCAGTCATGTAATCTAGCATGTCATGCAATCACGAACGTGACTCAAAAACTCGAAAATTTCAAACGCCAAGATTATTATCAGCAGTGTTTTAAGCTGATCTAGACAGTAAACTTTCCTAAAATTGTTTCAACAATCTGTGCATTGTTCTCATCTGAAAACCATACAATTATTTCCATTCTCCTTAAATCTGGCAAAGATTTGTCTTGATTGAATTTCATTGATTTCATAAAGTAATTTTATACATTTCGGTTAACCACGAAAGTTACTTGTCTCTGCCTGTATTATTAAGAACAGGTTCATAATAAGGCTGGCTTCTCCTAGGTTTCTGTAATCTAGAAGAATTTTTTAGTTATCTCATTGAAATTTCATTGATAAAAATTTACAGTTACTTCTAAAATTACACTTTACCACCTAGCATATCTAAAAGACTGTCCAGATTTTTATCTATTTATCATTTCAATCACTTCCGAAAAGTCAACAGTCTTATCAATGAATCATTACATCTGCTGATAAGCCTTGCCTAATGAAGGGAAACAACTCTGTAAAACTTCAAACATCCAGTTCCTTCACAAATTATCTAATCCTTTCACATCACTTTTATTGCTGTTTTCCATGAAAAAGAGGTTAATAATTATGTTTTCTGTTAAAAATCAACTGAAATTTAATCCTACAGTACTGTTATGCAAATTGATACATCCATGTTTTTCAAGTTTTTCACCAAAACAGTACGTAAACAGGAAAATTTATACCATAAACATCCTAATATTATCATTGGTTGAACTGAACATAGCTAATATAGTGATGTACATTTCAGATAAAAGTCAATAATATGATAGTATATAAATATAACATATTTCTCATGTACAAAGTCATCCTACAATCGGCCATTTCCTTCCTGTCTATCTGATGTTCCTCTCGAACAATTGTAATCAGTCAGGAAAACAACAATCACACTAATACATTAATCTTTCACAGTGTCCTATTAAAAATTACTAATTTTACACACAATATTTATGTTTATATCTTAAGATGGACTTCTAGGTGCGTATTGACGGATTATATAGCGAACAGTGCACACCCTGATCAGACGGCACAGATATGTGCCGGCTGATCTTAAGTGGCACTGGTTGCACGAGTAGATTCTGCTGCTGCCGGGGTCTCAAGAGTTCAACCCCCATACATAAACAGAACACGTCCCTTACAATATGACTGCAATTACTTCTTCAATCTAATACATGTATTGTAAACAATTATTCTTTACATTAATTGAAAATTAATTGCTTCAGTTAATTAAAAAAATGAAAATGTACACATTTAGTGGTTGATGACCTCACACAAGGCACAACCACTCATAGTTTTCATTAAATTCATAAAACTAAATCAAAATTGTAATGATCTGAGAATTTGTATCTTCGGACAGTCATCTAAACATATTTAAGCTGACTCCAGTAAAATAATCTTGTGACTTCTTCATCAGTTCTTTACAAACAGTTTTAAAGGTCAACAAACCTTCCTTTCCTCTCAAAATTGACAGCAATAGCTAAATTCTCAATTAAACCAAAATTTATCTCATTTGCAATACCATAATGGTACAAAACTGCCATAAAAATTAACTTAAGTTTTCAAATGTCAGTTTGTTTATTGTTAAATTTGCAAATAGCTTTATGACTGTGTTTATGAGCACTTGAATGTATTGTAAACCTTCTGATGACAATGCAGATGACCAATAAAGACAAAATCAACATAAATGTTACATCACCCAAAGGCTGGCAACTGTTTACTTATTGGTCCTTCGGGGCATGCACAATGAAATGACCGATGAAATAGGAATGCAAAATGAGACAACTGTTGTGCAACATTAAAATGAGCAAACGTCTGATCCAAAGTATACTACATGTACATGACAACAAAATAATGTTTCCTTAAATATAACCTCATCTTAAATATACATAATACATCCATGTATAATGCACAAATTAAACATCTCACTTAAATAATCATAATATAACAATGTATGCAATATTTACAATACTTCGAAACTTTTCCAAAAAAACTCCATTTATATATGTAATACCTTTTACTTCTTTGCATATTTTATCACATTTCATTACTATCCAAGTATATTCAAGAATTTGCTACCATCAGCATTATCACTAAGCGGCACTGTGGAAATTAATCTTAATTTCATTAATATCCTCAATATTATTTATATCCTCAATATTTTTCAAACAGTGTATCCTGTTATTTAATTTAACAGTCTATACACTTATATTATTATTATCATCCACTTTTGTCTTGTCATACGTTATAACTAATAACGTAATAACCTGTCCAGGAAACTTAAGAATGCAGTATAATACTGCTTATTCACATCCTTCGACACTGTCCCGTAACGTCCTAAATTTCATATACTTGTAATGTAGGTCTGTATATGTATCTCGTATAATTCATTTACAGAGGAGGAAGTGTCAAATTCGCCTATTCAAATTTTATATCTATCTTTACATACTTTATTTCACATGCTGAAGACATTAAAATTAAATACGGAAGATGGTCTTAAGTAGATTAAATTAACTGACACTCTTACGACACTTTTTCATCTGATCGCACAGTGATGTTTTTTAAAAATTTATATTTGTAAAAATACACAGTATCTCGAGCAATTTGAAATTGAGAAATATGAATATGATATGTAATCTATGTAAAATGAGCTTACCACAGATTAGATGAAAAAGTTTGCAATTTCAAAGAAATATAAAAGAATTCTACACAAAACTGACGTAAATCCTTTATAAATAATTGATCCAAAATTCTGTCATTAATTTTACGTAACTAATTATGTACAGTTAAACCAAATAATCAGAAAAAATATTTTGCTGTTATCTCAAAATGTCTACCTTAAACAAAGAGGGTAGGTATATAGTGATGTAAGGTGAATACGTAGGTTGACAGATATCATAAAACAATTAGATAATTGATTGACACATTGCCAATTAACATAGACTACAGACAGACAAAAGTTATAGCATGTATGTAACTGTACACCCATTAATGAGAGGCAAGTGTCAATGTAGCCTGGCATCAAAATTGACATTCCTCACGCATGTAATACCAGATCGTAAATTGACTTATATCGTATTGACCTAAAATTGTTGTTCTACATACATGTACATGTATTATCTGTCGCTGAACTTTTTTTTTAAGAATTTTTGGTTTTGAGTTCATTGCATATTCACAAGTGGCGTAATCTACGCAAGCTTTTGACTGATTCGACTAAAAGGGCAATCCTTACTTAGTTAAGCTCAAAAGTCACCATTTAATGCTTTTTTGAGAATTTTTCATGAAACGTATTTCACGGAAGACAAAAAATTATGAAATAACAGGAAATGAAATATGAATATGTCACACAAACCACAGGAGATCTATCCAGAAGATCTAAGATACCTAAGGTATCATCCTTACAATTTTACAGTAACATTAGAAATAAAAGACCTGACATTTAAATAATAACTTGAATAATATATTTATAACCCTTCTTTCATTAAAAACAAACAATCAAGCAGCAGACGAATATAATAACACAAACAAAGTATCGAACCTAACGCTCCAAAGAAATGAAACGAAACTTGGGCAACAGTACAACACATCATTTTAAACATTAACTTATTCTCACGATAATGTGCTTTAAATAAAATAACTACAAGATTTATTTTCAAACAGCGATAATATAAATTTAAACTTACCAACAATTTTAAAATCCCAGCGAAAAATGTTAAACCGATTTAATTTAAATATCACTGAAATAAACTTTGAACAGCAGTGGATTTTAGCACTCTGTCATAAGATTAAACATGAAAGTTCATTAACTAAGTTCTAACAGAAGCATGTAAATAAATAAGCTTGATTGAAACTAAACACATGTGGTATGTAAGTCCCCAAAGAATTAGGGGGTAAATTAATGTTAAGTCCCAACAATGTATTTGCCACAGTAAAAAAAAATATGTTTATCGTTACAACTGTAAGTGCTTCCAAAGAATACCAGCATAAAACTTCTTAAGTTTAACGGTTGTATTATTAGACTGGCTCTTCTTTAATCGAATACACATGTACATCTTGTTGACACCACAGTCAACGTCACTTTGTATGGATCATCGGTACATAAACATAAAAATTTTGTTTATCTTCTGACAGAAATAGAATCTGAGTCACTGTCAGTTTATAGACAGTGATTATGCACTTTATAATTGATAACAAAATTGTTGGGTGTTGTTTCAATTTCAATTCAAATTTTAGAATGCGTTTCCACGTACTAAACTTAAATAACAGTCATAATATTATCGAACGACTATTAAAAATCTATTTTTAGATTCGATCAAGTATCAGGTAATAAAACTCTTCTGTATTCAAGATCACGAATGGGGGAGGGCTATTGAGAGTATTCAAAATATTTGCATAATTTATCGAATGATATCTAAATATCTCAAATACTCATTCAATTGGTAATAAAACAGTCCCTATACTTAGATTCATAGCACGTCTATCAAAGTGAATAAGACTGATTTTATTATAAGATATTATCAAAACATGAGGCATGTTGTTTTTTTAATTATTGATTACCGATACACTGGTAAATCAAACGATGAAAACTGGAACATCTTAAATTTACTTAACCAACAGAATAAAGTAAGTATATAATTAATAACAAATACATTTGATATATCTTTTTTATGAGGTCAATGCCCCCCTATAAAAGGCCGGATAACAAGGAAATAAGAAAAAACCTTTGAAAAGGTACACCTGTATCAGACAGCTAAGAAAATATAAACCACTGTGTTGTTTGCTTGTGTTCCTTGAGTTATCACTTTATTTCCAAGTTCAATGCACCTTGTGGCTGATCATTTATATCAATATTTATTCCCCCCACCCTATCTACCAACCCAATACCACCCCCACCCCCATAGCTTACATTATGAACCATCGTTCCATTATGTTTTATTATTTTTCCAATATCATTTTCATTGTGATGTTAACATTAGTAGTGCAATATTAAAGTATATATATTTAAAAAATTTTAATTAGAACAAAAAGGACATTAACCAACTTTTTTTCAAATATTAATTATTGCTGTGCCCAAACCATAAGCTCTGTCTCATACAGTCTCCTATACATGCACAGTCATGCAGGTACCATAAATTTCTAAATGTCTGAATAAACAAAATAAGATGATATTGATTAGTGAATTGAATCCATAGAACGTCTGTGCAGCGAAAAGATAAAATTTCACTATCTCTCTCCACTAAGTACTGAAATTGGATGAGGCCTTGCATTAGAAATTGCATTGTTTATGCATTG